GCTGTGCTATGTGAGCTTTAATTTCTCCTGAGCAAATACCTAGGAGTTCAATTTCCAGATCATAGCATCGATGTTGTTACTCTTCTTATTATTTTGCCAGTTTCCCAAAGTGGTGCCAGCGTTTCACCATCCCCTCAGCTCTGGAGGCGGGTGGGTTTCCCCTGCCCCTGCTCCTACTTGGTACCTTGTCTCTTTTTAATTTTGAGGATTCTTTTGGTTTAATTAGCATTTCTCTGATGACTGACGATGTTGAGTACATTTCTATGAAAACTGACTCTACTGTTATGGAGTCTTTAAGTCTTTTCTACCCACTTGAAAAATCAGTTGTCTTTTTCTTATTGAGTTGCTTAGTGTTCTTACAGATTCTGGTCACAAGCCTGTCCCCACATATTTTTTTCTGCCAATCTGCAGTGAGTCTTTTCCTGACCAGCACAGGTGTTGAGCAGACATCAGTTTATCTGTGGCTCCTTTCTGCAGTGAAGGTTCGGTTGTCTTGCTGTAGTGTGACATGCTGACGGCTGTGTGGTAGAGAAGGCTGATTCCAATCCTTCACCCAAGTCCTGGAGCTCAGGAATGAAAGCCAACCCATGGCTCTGCAGTGAGGAAAATGTCAGACAAATGCACACAGCTCCTGAGCATGCACTGCTAGTTTTGTTTTAACAGAGGTGTTTGTAAACAAGATGACTTTATCTGTGGGAAATGCCAGTGATTGTTAGTTTCCAGGGTGCCCTGGTCTCAGCCCTTTCTAGCTTCTGTCTGGAAGTCAGGGTGGGTGGGCAGGGCATCCCTCAGACCTCCTTCTCCTGGCTGATCTGCTTCTTTGTTTGCTGCCAAACCACATTGTGCAGCGGTCTTTGGAATGGAGACAGGCTCTGGCCCATTGGGACAGCAAGCCAGTTCCCAAGTTGACCTATGGGAAGAAACCATCATGGGGCTCAAGGTCAGGACCTCCGGGCTGGGTGGATGGCAGGGTGTGCAGTTCTTAGCCAAGAGCACCGGGGCTGATAACCTTAAAAAGCCCTGAAGTCATCAGCAGATAACTGGCCCCCCGGGGCAGACAACCTCACGAGCAGGAAGAATACCTTAAGATGGGGCAGGAGCTGTGTTGTCAGATGACTTCCATTACCTGGCCAGTGGAGGCCCAGAGAGACAGGGGATGGGAAGGGCACGGCTGGTCAGGGCCAGGAGCACATCCTGGGGTGGATGACGTGACGAGAGATTTGTGTGGAGTGCTGACCCTGAGTGAAGCGCTGATGAGGACCAGAAGGACCCTGGGGGTGTGGGGGACAGAGGTGGTCTGGAAGCTGCAGAGCCCACCATCAGGGCAGGCTGGGGTGAGGAGGGACAGCACACAGCCACACTGGAGGCCGAGAGCCCAGGGACCAGGCCCACGCGCCAGTCCCGAGGCAAGGCCGGGACGGGACCCAGCAAGGCTGCAGGATGCAGCTGTAGCCACCCCGAGGGGCTGATGGCCTTCTCGGGCCTTGGCATCACAGCGAGATCCTTTGCTGCAGGCTAGGGACAGATACTGGGAAAGCAGAACAATCGCATATGGACTGGAAAGACGGGGCTGCTAAAGATCAGGCAGAGAGTGATGGGGTCCACTTGTCCTAAGTGTGTGATCTCACCCAGTGAAATCTACAGAGGGATCTCCAGGATTGGAGGGCAGGATAGGGTTACTGGGGGAGGCAGGTGGGGAGTTGGTTACCAGTACTATCCAGAGTCGGAGAAGAGGGATGCCATCTGGTGCTGTTTATTACTGTGCAAAGGCTGATTGCAGTGAGCAGTTACGTACTGTGTATTTCAAAATAGCTGGAAGGGAAGATCTGGAATATTGAGGAGCAATGATAAATATTTAAAGCGATGGCTGTGCTAGTGGGCCTGATTTGATCCTTACATAATGGAGACATGTATTGAAACACCGGGCTGCATCCCATAAATATGCACCTTTATTATATGTCAATCAAGAATAAAATGAAACCCTAAAAGTTGCAAGCCAGGGAATCCGGGCCCGGCAGCATTCTCTGGGGAGCTGTTGGGCCTGTGCTTCCTATCTTGATTATTCTGAGACTTAGCAATGGGCTGATGTGGACAAGAGAAGTGGTCAAGGATTCCAGGATTGATATTCCAGGCTTGAGATTTGGTTATAGTGGCACACACCTATAACCCCAAGCACTCTAGGAGACGGAGACAGGAGGAATGTACGTTCGAGCCCAGCCTGGGGAACTTAGCAACTGTCACATACGGTTACTTAATGTAAATATGCCTATAATTCCCAGGGTAAAAATATGGGAGTCCTAATGGAATGAACTGGACATATATAACCGGGTGCGTCCAGAGATGAAAGGGAAACTATCATTCCTCTGAAAAAGTCAAATCTTTGTGCTCATGTGTGTACTACTTTGCATATACATTTGTAAGTTAAGTGGGTTGCAAATACATCTAGCAATGGAAGGACAGAAACGAGGATTCACGTAACCTTTCTCCATCTGTGCGGATCTGACTTCTGGAAAAAGTTCTAGCTCCTTTCTCCTGGGGACCTGGTTGGCAGGAGACCATCTTGGTAGATCTGATGATATGTGTGTGCTTTTTAAACTATGAGTTTTGCAACCCTAAAATAGAGAATCTTTCCCTCAATGTGGGCAGTATAACACACTGACTCGAGGTCCTGGCTCTAACAGGCACTGAAGGAGAAATGAGTATAATTCTCAGGCACATCCCTCTGCGTGACTCGCTGAGGTCATCCACCTGTGCCAGTCACCCACAGCCCTGCTGCACTCCTGGATGAGTACTTTGGCATCGTGCATGACGACTTTGCCTGCTGTGCGAGATGAGCAGATCACTGCCCTGTGGTGTTGCGAGTGAGGGAAACTTGAAACTTGTTAAGTTCCTGCAGTCTACCAAAGGGAGGTGGCTGAGAAGTTTGGGACCTTCTCCGCCTTCAACTATGGATGAAATGGCCTGCAGTGGATGTTAACTTGCAAATGATGTACAGGATGCTAACTTTCCATGATCCGTATATTTTGCTATCACACGCTGTGAACTACTTCATTGCTGAATCAAAAGTTGTAGGATTAGAGACAATGTAACTGACATATAACTGAAAACAGAATAACCGGATTACTCGTGAGAACTGAATCACACTGTGATGATTTCTAAGATCTGTTTTGGAACTGAAAATGTTACTCCTCTGAAGCAAGCATTGAAAGATTCATGAAACTAGAAAACAGCGTCCCCAGAGTCTGGCAGTAGACCTTTAGGTTGGTAAATTCACTAGTGACAATGGGCACCGTCTCACTGGTTTGGGACATGCACTTGTGAAAGCTGCTGTGTGACTAGGGCTAGAGGCCCTGGGTGGTGACACCGTGACAGAGCTCACTGATGGCATAAAGGCTCTGTTACCGAGGACAGGCCTTACGCTCCAGGACACTAGAACATATTACCACACAACAGGGCGATTACTTGGAGTGAATTATTGCCCAGTACAGGTTCATAAACAAATGATAAGAGCATGCATGTGTTTGCTAATTAATAAAGCAAAATTCTATTATGGAAAATTTCAAGCATAGGGAATAATATACTGGCATATCCACCAGCACAAACCATATATGTTTGACTAGATTCCGCCTGGTATCTATCTATCTATCTATCTATCTATCTATCTATCTATCTATCTATCATCTATCTATCATCAATCCACCATTTATCTACCTATATTACTCATCTTTCTATGCAGTTATCCATGTATCTTGCTTTTAAACACATTGCAAAATAAGTTGCAGCCACCAGTATCCTGCTCCCTAAGTATTTCGCCATGCATATCATTACCATATTTGCAGATGTCTTTCTTCTTAGGAAACATTTAATCTGAAAGGAATGCATAAATCTTACGTGACTACTCATTGAGTTTTGAAAAAGGGATACACCTATGCAACCCCAAATCCCTATCGAAATGTGTAGCACTATTACCCCACAGGACTGTTGTTTTGGTCACTTTGTCACAGACACAGATACCCAGCACCTACAACTTAGAGAGGCTGAATTTGCCTCCTGGCTAAAGGCCATGGAAGGGCCTGGCGGAGGAAAAGCTGCTCACATCATGGTGGCCCGGAAGCAGAGAGGGAAGGAAGGAGATGCCCTCTTTCAGGCCACGCCCTCGGTGACCCACCTCCTCCAATCAGGCCTCACCTCCACTGCCACATCAGCCTCTGAGCTCACCAACCGCCAGTGAGTCCAGTGCCCCATGATCCAGGCACCTGCCACACACGCACGAGACACTGCAGGTCGAACTATATGCCATGACCTTGTTAAATTATCTTAGACACTTCAGGATTTTCTATATAAATAATCAAATCATTTGCAAATAGACATTTTATTTATTTGGTACTGGGGCTCGAACCCATGGGCTCAACCCATACTAGCACACATTCTACCACTGAGTTACAGTCCCAGCTAATATTTTTAATCTTGAGACAAGGTCTTGTTATATCGCTCAGGTTGACCTCTAATTTGCAATCCTCCTGTCTCAGCCTTCTGAGTAGCTGAGATTAGAGATATGCACCATCATAGCCAGCTGAGACTATCTAATTTTTATGTGTTTTATTTCTATTTTTTCACCTTTTGTACAGAATACACAGTAAAATGTTCAATTTTAAAAAAAATGAATATTGCATTTTGTCAAATGTCTTTTTTCTGTATTTAATTAAAAGATCATGTATATACCTTTGCATATATATAATTTCAATCACATACTAAGAACCCACCTAGACAAAGCAGTAACTTGAACCAGTTTAGGAAATAGTTGTTGCTTACTCAATTCAACCTATCCTCTACCCTATCCATCACCATTACCAGAGTGTCAGGTGGCTTTGCCCTGCCACCACGTGGCTCATAAATGACAGACACATGCCCAGTCTGAGCCTAATGACTTCACAGCTCAAGTTCTTTCTCCAGTCCCACTGCCCTCAGACCTGCCAAATGTAACAATTCTTGCAACAATATTTTCAGCTTTTCTCTTTATTCTTAGGAATAAAATGCAACATACATGTTCTACTTCAGGAAAGCTGAGAGGAGGAGAGTCAATATTCACTCTTGAGAAAGGAGAAAATGTACAGCATTGGCATTTTCCAGTGAAATGTGATTTTTCAAATTAGTTTTAAGAAATAGTTGAAAAAGACCAAAAGATGTTATTTTAAAATTAGGTGTGTATGCGAAAAACTGTTGAAATGCTTGAAAGAAACATTTTAATTCCATGTCATGTTATTTTTTATTAAGTGATATTTATGGAAAACACTTGATAAATGTGAGTCAGGGGAACTATTCAATCCCATCATACGTAATCTTTTCAGGCAAGTAATGCACACATGAAAAGCAGGCGAAATGTGCTTGCTGGAAAGGGACATTTCAATGTCACGTCATTTTTCAGTCAGGAAACGCATGGATGGCAGCTGAAAATGCTGGAGAGGAAAGATGGACATCAGTTCCCACCTTTGGAAACCCCGACCACACAGCTGGACACCGAGACCATCACCACGGGCTCCAAGTCCACCCCAGTCACACGACACAGCACTCTGTGGTTTAAAGCTTTCAATAGAGATATTTTACATCATTAAATGTCTATTACCCAATGTACACTGAAAGCTGACTGAAGCAACTTAAATAAGACTCAAAGACAGGCTGCAAGAGACATGTTAAAGTCTTCATTTTCTTCCCAGAAAGGCACATGAGGTAGTTTATACTGCGGGTGCACTGTAAAGAACGGCATTCCAGTTTGTTCAAACGTCACTGACTGCAAGAAGCACGCACTATTCCCAAGTGAGCTGCTTCACACAGAGATCCTCTTTTGCAGAATGGAGGAATAAATGAGTCAGTTCTAGGAATTTTCCTGAATAATATTCCCAAAATGTTAATTTCCTCTGATACTTTCCTGGAGGATACCATGTTCCTGAACAGGTACCAAGAGCACTTGGGACAGCATGGGAGAAGCCATTAAGAATAATATTTATACCCAGGTGTGGTGCACACCTGTAATTCCAGCACTCGGGAGGCTGAGACAGGAGGTTCACTGCAAGTTTGAGGCCAGCTTGGGCTACATAGTGAGTTCAAGGCCAGCCTGAACTAGGTAGGGAGACCCTGTCTCAGACAATCCAAAAAAGAAAAAAAAAGATAATATTTATGAGCTGGGTGTCTGACCTTCCTCTTGTTTGCAAATATACCATTCGCTTCATAGACTGGGTACTGAAGTTTGAAAAAACCAACTCTGCTGTTTTCCAATCCTTTAAGTCTTTAGGTGACAGGCAGTTTAGGGTTTATTTATTCTGTAAGAATTAAATTAGGCAAAAGAACTTTAACCACAGAAGTATTAGTTTTTGTGTGTCTGCAAATGTTTTTCTTTAACCAGTTAATCTTATGATGGGGAATAAAAGTTCTAATGGTTTGGCAATGTGGACATGGTTCTCCATATTATACAGCTGTCTGAGAGCTGCCACTTGGCCTTGGATGAATGGAAGTGTCCACCCAAAACCACATGGCAGGGGTAAGAACTTTAGAGAATTCCTGCATTTCACCTGTCACCTCCGGGGTCCCTATGTAAACAAGCCTAGGGACCAGGAGTAAACCTGGGACTCTTTATGTACAGGTTCTAATGTGTTGTCAGTCAGAAGAAAGGAAAACTCTGAAATAAAAATAATGAATGAATAGATTTGTGAGTTTTAAATAAAATCACAACAGAATTTTAACCCTTCTAATGAGATACGGTGAGAAATACCAGGTACAGATGTAGGGAGAAGTGTAAGGTAGCTATTTGAAAATTGTCTTCCACATGTGGGTGTAGATTCCTACCATGTAATGTGTAATGCCTTGGAACTTGGCAACCACATGAAGGGGAATGTTTATTCTGTTGCAATGTTTATTTTGCTTTGTTTTGTTTTTCATACTCTAGAAATTCATTGTGTAAACTCACATGCCATCAAGTTAGCATATGCTGAAAACTGATGAAATACAGGCAGAAATATAAGCTTATAGAATTCTTTTCTAACTGGTTATCTGCCAAAGGAAATAAAGATTCTCAAATAAACAAATTAAATGAATACATCTTTGTGTTTCTTATAAAAGTATAACAAAATCCCAAAGGCTAGAAATACAATTACCTGGATGTGGAATATAAATAATGTTTTGTAGAGACATCAAGGCATAAAGTAACATGCACAGGATTTCTTCCATAAATGCAATTAAAGGTATTATGTTAAGTTGACACTTGGTAAAATAAAAAATGTTTTCTGTGTTTGTGATTCCATGTTGAACTGCAAGTGAGAGTCATGTTGGCCTTAACTCTTATGAAAACTGATCTAAACCCATCAAAATCTCAGTCTGGATTCCACCCTGAAGTATATGCTTTGGGGAAATGAGAACTCTATCCCCAGTTGGGCTGGTCCTAGACGGACAGTATCTGGGACCCCAAGAGGGAAGGCAGAGCCAGCCCATCCTCAGCGTGTTCTAGACTTGCCCTAAATCAGAAGCATGAGGACCGAGTGCTGTGGCCAACTGCAGAAACTCAATGGAGAGACAGCTTCCCAACACACATCTGATTCCCCAGCCCGCTGCTCCTTCACAGTGCTCGGCCATGTCTACACTTAATGAACAAAAGCAAAATCTGTGTGTGCGGCTTGTAACAGCTGGAGCTAAGGGCACTTTTCACCACACGTGGATACAAGCAGTTTTGTATTTTTAGGTTGGGGCTGCAGAAAGAAATCACTACCTACAGTTGTGAACTGTAAAAAAGAAAAATGTGTGTGATCAGAGAGGGAAATCTGAGTCTGGCACAAGGAAGGATGTTCACTGAGCACCATGAACATGGAGGAAAACCAGAGACTGTGACTGCTGACCCCAAGGAAGGGTCAGGAGGGTCAGGAAGGGTCTGGAAGGGTTGGACACCTGATGGGCACCTGCTCATGAGACCATGAGTGACAAAATATCACCTCAATACTCAACGACACAGAGTGCTCATTGGAGAACGATGACAGCCATCACTCAGCACGACATTTGTAGCAACAGTTTTTTTTAGATGGAAGTTCCTCCTCCAATCCAGGAGCCAGTCAGAGCATAAATATTGTCTGTTTCACTTTAGAAACTGATTCCCTTTGGAAAGTAGATGTGGAGTATTTTGTAGGGCAGAAATTAAGGCTGTTTCTGGCATTCTTGCTAAAAAAAAAAAAAGAGGTCAATAAATGTGTATAACATAAGTATAAAAAGAGTCTCTTCCCCTTGTTGGTGGCATTGGCTATGAAAGGAAGAGCTGCTTGTCCCCAAGGTCATGTACAAGGTCATGTTCACATCTGCTGCAGAAACAGAACTGGAGCAATGATGGAGCTCGCATCCTGTAGAGCCTCACTTCTGGGAGGACCCAGGCTCCCTTCCTCATCCAGGAAGAGTGGAGAGCGTTCAGCTCAAGTGGTGAGCCCCTCCTTCACACAGTTCACGCTGACGAGGCTGGCGATGCTTCCCCTCAGGACAAGGACCCCTGAGGGCTATGGGACAGGCATGTCCAGGGAGTCTTGTTTCCCCACCACAAGCAGCGTCTCCTTGGAATATAATATGTGATCACAGCTGCATGGGGGTTATTTCAAGGACTTGGTTCTGGCTTAATGACCCATTCTGCATGAGGATTTACACGATATACATCCAATACGTATGCATCTGGATCCAAGCAATGCTGTCCTGAAAGAAAGAGAAAAATCACAGAAGGTTTCAAGCCTGCAGGCCTTTCTGGTGCAAACCATGCATGGTTCGTGTGTGTGAGGTTCCACGGAAGCCAAGAAGAGTTCTCCTTGACAGAGGGAAGTGTGTGTACCTTTTAAAGTTTCTTAACAAAGCTCCCCCCCACCCCGCTTTCTCTCTGACTTCGAGGTAATTCAAATAAATCTCATATGAAATTGGGGAAAAAAACCAGACACACCAACCACAGGAAAATTATTCCCTGCTTTACCACATCAGATGGAGAAATGCGACAAGAGTTTGTTTGTGGTCTAAACTGATTGTTCATATGCTGACACAAGTCCTCTCTTGGCTTTACAGAGAGTAACCTCAGCAGCACTCGGCGGGCACAGTGTGTTTTAGGGATGCTCACGCTGTTGCTTTACTGCAGGTGATGCAGGACAGTTACCAAGATGTCCTGGGCACTGTTTGAGCCCTGGCCTCGCACCTGTCAGCCTGTACAGTGAACAACCACGTGAACACAAAGTGAGACTGGTGGTGAGAAGCACATTACAGGAAAACAACAAAGAAGGCTTGTGGAGAGGGTGTGTGAGCCCGGGAACCGTGGCTGGAAGGTGATGGACCGCCAGAGGCGTGGCAGCGGCGAGGAGACTGGACGATGTGGAAGGGCAGGGCGTGCATGCGAGGCCCCAGGCAGCCGTGAGTGGGTCAGCAGAAGCTCCCGGTCTGAGCAGAAGCCCAGGCACGTTTGAGGTGCCTCCCCATGCAGGTGTCCTGAAAGTGAGGCCGTGGATTGAGCCCCGCAGGAAGCGCAAACACCCCGAGTTCAGAGGGTTGCACCCTCCAGCTCTCCAGCAGAGGCTGAGGGGAGAGGGCAGAAACAGAGGAGGCTCGGGTAAGCGGAAGGAAGGAAGGCAGCAGCTGAGAAGCGGGAGGGCTGGGGGGCGGAGCGTGAGAGTCCTCCCGGGACCTGGGGGAGAGAGGGACTGTGCTGAGGGCCAGGAGGGACCGGGACCTCAGCTACGGCTGACAGAGGAGCTTGGCGCAGGGGGCGCAGAGAAATGGGAGTGGGCGGGCGTCAGGAGTTTGTGAGGTCCGATGACGAGGACTTGGGGCCGAGGTGTGAGCAGAACTCGCTTTTCTCCCAGTCGTCCACCCCCAGCAGGGGACTAGGAGTGAAAACAGGGAAGTTAAACAAAAAGGACTTTCAACTTCGGAAAATCCTGTCCTCTTCCTTTTTTATTCTCCATGAATCTTCAGGAAGAGACTTTCCAACCCCACGGGAAAGATCCGAAAGTCTACCCCATCTCCACACTAACAAATCCTCCCTTAGATCTGGAGAACAGTAGACAACTCGTGAAACTTCTTCCATGAGGTTGGGAAAAAACCCAGAAATGCACTCCTGGCTTTTAATCTAAGAAACCTGTAAAATATGCCTCTATAACAACAGCAATATATTGTTCTTAGAATGATCAGAAAATTTAGAAGTAGAAATGATTAATAAATGCTTACCTATATTTCCTCCAATTTCATATAACCTTTGGTTCTGAATCTTAATACATTCTGATGAGCCATGGCTAAAAAGACAAAAAGACAGCACAATTTTAATCCCATTTCATGATCTAAAGGAAAATTGTGTATTAGACAACACAGCCACAAATAATTCATTCTGCCTTGATGAAATATATGCCACAAAGCCCTGTTATGACTGAAGTTAACAACTTTCTTTTTTATTCGACTTGGACAGGAAGCTGAAAGCCAGGGCGGCTGGGCTGGGAAGCATCGGGGCAGGAACAGGCGCTGAGCCTGAGCGGCGTGCAGGAGGCAGCCTGCTCCTGCCGTGCCCACTGGGGCAGCTCACAGGCAGGCAGCAGATGCTGCACACAGGCCTGGCCTCGAGCAGCTGCCTTGTCCCTGGCCACAGTTCTCTGCGAACAGGAGTCAGGTTCACTGCCACACTTGCCAAATGTTGAATGGTAGGCTCTCCTCAGCCTGCAGGTTTCCCAGGCTGCCACTGCTTTGCAAGCTTTGACTTCTTTGAGAAACTCTGCCTTATAAAGAAAGGCAAGCCAGAGCGAGCAACTACCCTGTTCATGTTTTGCACCCCAAACTAGAATGTTAGGGCAGAAGGATCTGACAGACCAGTGCTGATCTCCATCCGAATTTGGCTACTTCAGCTTGGTTACTTCAGACTGTCCTGGCCTTTTGGTTGTGTGGAAGCAGGATGTGTGCCCTATTTTTCTGTTTGTTTAATCAACCTTCTTAGATAGTGGTAGATTCGCATGTAGTAGTAAGATAATATACGCAGGTCCTCTGCACCCTTGCGAAACTCCCCTGCAATTACCAAGACCAGAACACTGAGCTTGACTCCACAAAGATGAAGAAGGTTCCCGTCACAAGGAGCCCTCCTGTTACCCTTTCATGACTCTGCCCCCACCTACTGTAGCCTGACCTATGGCAGCCACTGCCCTGGTCTGCATTTCTGTACATGTGCTGTCCTCATAGATGTCGTGCGAATGCAAAAACACAGTGAGGAACCTTTTGCAGTGCTTACACCCACCCGCTCAGCATAAATCCTTAGCCACGCCCCTAGGTGTTTTCACTGCTGACGGCGACACCTTGGCTGGCACATATCATAGCCTGTTCAGGGATTCACTTGTTGAAGGACAGCTAGGTTTTATCCCGTTTCAATTGTTTAGATGAAGCTGCTGTAAGTTTGTATAACAGTTTTTGTGTGAGCATAGTGTTCATTTCTTTGAAATAAATACCCTGGGATAAGAAAGCTGGATTATATGACAGTTGGATACGTAGCTTTATAAGAAACTGTTGAACCGTTTTACAGTTACTGAACTATTTTGTATTCCCATCAGCACTGTATGTATGAGCGGCTCGGTTTTTCCACCTTTGTGTTTGGTGTTGTCACTATATTTGACTTTAGCATCCTCATAGGTGTGTGATGCTCTGTCAATGTGGTGTCTTAATTTGCATTTCCTTACTGGCTAACTTTGTGTATCTTTTTATGTGTGTCGGTCATCTGTAGATCTCTGGTGAGATGTCATCTGCTCATCTCTGCTATGGTTTGGCTCCTGACACTTGTGGGAGGTGGTGGAAGGTTTCAGACATGAGGACACCAGACAAGAAAGCATGCAAGCAGAGTGCCAGCTTTTCCTACCTCCTTTGCTGGGGCCCATGTGGAGACTCTACTCCCCAGGGGCCTGGCTGGAATCAGGGGGGCCTGTGGGAACAGGATGCTGATGGCCTCTGCCCCAACCTGCCTTGTTCTACTCTGAGGATGGGGTGGGGATGGAAGCCCAGCTTCACATGGGCCCTTATTACATGGAGGGAGGAAGCAGAGCCTGGGGCTGGTCACAAAATACAGTGTGTATTTAAGTACAAAAAATAAATCACGGTAAAAGACACACTAATCCTCACAATGCTCCCCCTTACTTTGAACACACTGATCCCATTGTTCTTGCCACTTTCTGGAGCAACCCTGAAAGTCCTCTTTTGGGAGTGTCTGCAAGGTGTGGTCAAACACGGAGAATGCGGCTGCTGAGCGCCATCCAACGGAAAGGCAGCTCGTAGAAACATATGGTGCATCCTCATCCACCTTAGTCACTGCATCTGGTACCATGTGACTTCTGGCTCTTCCCAAAGTCAAAATGACCACGAATAGAAGACGCTGTGAATCAATTCAGGACATCCAGGCAGCCATGACAGAAAAACTAAAGACACTCAGGAAAGAGGACTCCAGAACTGCTTCAGAAAGTGGCAAGAATGATGGAGTGAGTGTGTTCAAAGTGAGGGGAAGTAGTTTTGAGAGGGATAAATCACAATGAGTCTTTTACTGCCATAAATTATTAAAAATTTAAACAGTGTAGTTTATGATCACCCTTCGTAGCCTGCCTGAATACTTCCTTGCTGCAGTGCTGTGCCTGCTGAGTAGAGATGCAGGCTCAGCTCGGTGGGGATGTTACCAAGATTGGGAATCAGTTCCTCTCCTGGTTCTTCCAGGTGAAGGACAGATCTGTTACTCACACGGCCCAGGGACACCACAGTGGCATGCTGTTTCTTCCCAGTGCCTGGTTGGAGAAGCAGGTTCTCTGTGGCTAGGGCAGCCCTTTCCAGGAGTACAGGCTTTTCTTGGAGCCTCTTTTCATGTGTGCCTGATTCGAGGCCCAGGAGGCAGTAAGGAAGCTTCTGCAACTTACTGTGGTACTGTTCCAGAGACTTCTTTCCAGCCGCCAGAGCTTTCCTCTGCTTGTGCTGGGTTAGGCCCAAGAGGCAGGACCTGGTAGGAACGGGGCTCCTCCCTACTTCTGTGACTTCAACCAATGTAGTGCGTAGACAGCCAGAAGGCAAGCCTCTGCCCAGACCGGCAAACTTTTAAATTGAGATAGCCAGCGTTTTAGTAAAAGGCTGGACTCCTCCACAGGTTCTTTTGAAGTTGTTTCAAAGGATTTGAGTCAGTGGTCAAAGGTTCTAATTTCTATTAGAAGCATTTTCTTTCTACAAAAGGTCTACTTGAGATTATATTTAGTTTGGTAACACACAAAAGAAACCAGGGCTCCGCTGGACACCCTAGTCCTAGTCCTTGAGCGACTGCCTCACCATAATTCTTTTCAGTATTTTAAGGGTCTGGCCAGCAGGAGAGAGGAGTAAATGCTCAGGTTCAAGGCTCCTATTGGCCTCTGGTGCCTCTTCTTTATTTGCGTACATTTGGATACATCTGCATGTACTTGCATACACAAAGTGCACCAATCTTTTTTTTGGTACTGGGGATCGAACTCGGGACCTTGCGCTTGTGCGGCAGACGCCGGAACCACTGAGCTCAATCCCTGGCCCAAGAGCACGAATCTTAAGTATAGGACCTGATGAATTTTCAAAGAGAGCACCCCACGTGGCCAAGTCCCACATCCACGTCGAAACAAAGAACTTCTTGGGATCCCTAGCCCATGCCTTCGGAGGTATGGTGTCTTTCACCCCCACCCAAAACACCATTCTGACCTCGAACATTTCACACTGTGGATTACATTCATTTAAATCCTGAAAGTTTTACTGAAATAATCCTAAGAAACAGTGCAGACACATTCTTTGTGCTCTCCACCGAGGGCTCACTGCTGGCAATGTGTTGCAAACCCGTGGTACAATGCCACAGTCAGGATACTGACCTTGGTCAGACCTGCCAATGTCATTCCAGTTTCCCAGTTTCACTCATGCTCACTGGTGTAGGTACCAGGTTCAGCTTAGGGTTACAGAGGTTGGTCTGTGCAGGGCCAGGGCTGAGTGACCACAACACAGGCCAGCGCCATGCAGGCCTTCATCCTGCCCTTGTGTAACCAAGCCCCTTCTCCTCCTACAATCATCCCTTCCCAACCTCTGGCAACCATTACTTTTTGTTCCATTTATAAAATTTTTGTCATTACAAAAATGCTATGAGTATTGTATAAATGGAATCACACAATATGCATCCTTTTACGACTGGACTCTTTTTCTCAACAAGGTTACATCTTTTAATATGACTGGAATGGCCTTTAAGGGCATCCATGTATTTCACTAGAGAGCATCAAACTCTACCTGCTTTCCAACTGATAAATTTAAATGAGCATTTTTCAACACTTGAAATCTCCAGGGGAAATGTTTATCCTTGAGTAAGGATTTCTAGACAAAAAATATTGTGATCTATTCTTTTTTATGGTTACTTATGGCAGATGTGCGAAAAGAATTGTATCATTCTGATCTTAAGGATTATTAATAGTATATTTTAAGGAAAATTAAAGCTATGGTATCTATGAAGGAGCCTAGACTAATGATATTCCTGGAAACTTATCAAGATAACTACAAAACTAACTTGCTGTATTTCTCGTTCTAAAAGGCATTGAGCAAATGAAGCTACCAAGACAAAGCCTATGAAGAACCCCATCTGTTCTTTCCTTTAAAGAGTCAGCTTCTGATACTAATGGTTCTGTTGCCTAATTTTACTGTAAGCCTGGCGATCTACTGGTGAGGTCCCCTAAGTGACAGAGCTGTCTTTTCGGATGGCAGCCTTTCGGGGGCCTGGAAAGTCATGTTGCCCTTCTCGGGCGGTGACCCTCATGCCGTGTACTTACCTGTTCTCAAACTGGAATTTGGCCAGTATGTCTTTGGCTTTGGTGTGACTGTTCAGTTGAATGGCCATGGACACCTTGGAGAAAAGCGGGGCGTGGACCCTTATGACTCCTTCCGGCACATCAGACTGCCAACGGGAAGAGATCGGGACATGCGGTCAAGCTGGTGACAGCAGCTCAGTGAGCGCGTGAGCTTGATGTGGTCAGCAGCACCGGAACGAGGACAGCGCATCCACACCATCGGTGTGCAAGCACCTCGGAGCGCTGCCTCCCTTTTCACCAGGAGACAAGCTAGTGACTAAACTCACCTGGCAGCTTTACCTTCGCTACACACTGCAGCCTTCCTAAGACGCCTTAAAATCATGAGAGGAGTAAAACTGGGTTCTGATAAAAATTGAATGCTTCTATCAATGCCTTTATCTATCAATACCATAACAAAGCCTACTTTAATCAAAATTCTGTACTTACATAAGTTTTAAGAAGAACAACTTTCAAACACTTTAGGGATCAGTTAGAAATACGGCCGGTTAAATAGTGTCATTTTTAGCTGGTAGGCGGGGGTGGCCCACCCCAGGGGGCTCAAGCGCTGTCCTCAGCCGGCGCCCATCGTACCATGCAGGGGATGAAATTCTACTGTCTTAAAGTACCTTGCTGCTACCTTGTCATGGCATCCCCAAGAGACTAAGCCAAAATATGTTTACACAGGGTCAGCTCTTAATATATTTCTCTAATATTCCCAGCAAGAAAGAAGGCGGTGCACCAGGGAATGAAGTCGAGGGACTTGGATGTGAGTGAGGCAGAGCTCCTGGCTCGTGCGCCCCTACAACACTCCAGGCTCTCCTGGCCTCACCCTCCCAGCTCCCAGACACCTCTGTAAGATGAACCCCATTTTCCTGTTCTTAGGGCTGAAGATGACAGTCCCAGGGCTGAGGATGACAATCCCAGCTCCCCTGCACCTCCAGGTGGCTGTCACACTGGTCCACAGGATGCCTGACCACACGCTCGGAAATGTCAGTCAAGTCCTGTAACCCAGCTGTGTGCACCGCACCTAGAGTACTAAGCGGAAGGACAGATAGAGCCCACAGGAGAATGTGGTGGCTGCCACTCGGCTACCGCTTACGTGTGTTAGTGACCTCCTACCTGGCTAGGGAGGGCGTTACTATTTAGGGACAAAGGGAGTTGTTTGCTTACCATTCTTCTGGCAGAAGGTGACTTTTGTAGTACCTTTGAGGCCTTGGGGTTTGCAACCTAAAGAAAACATGTTTTGTCTTTAGGATTCATGTTGAGAAAGCAAAGCTAATCTCGTAAGTCTTTATGCAAAACATTTTGGCAATATTTATAAATTATAAAATATATATGCTTATCCTACAAATGCACTTCACTTGTGCAAAATGACAGATATACACATTTATTCACGGAAGCACAAATTGTCATGGCAGAAGAGACGCCATCTAACTGTTCAGCAACCCGAGTAGGTTAAATAAATTCCTGCGTGTCTGTGGAAATGAGGCAAAAGTGCGAAGAAGCCCACTTTGTGAACTGATAGGGAATCACCACTGCGACTTCTCCCATCAGTAAAGCAGATAAAGGGCAGTGTTTCCTGTGGGCCTCCATCGTGTAAAACAGAAGGACGCACACGGGCTCCTGGGAGTCACAGGGGACGTGGCCACTGCCCTCATGGTGCCCAAATCTACAGACGCTCAATTCCACGGCACAAAATGACATCACACTTGCACATAACCTATGCCCCCTCCTGTGTACTTTACATCATTTCTAGATTACTTAATGAAACTTACTACAACGTAAATGCTACATAAATGCTGTAAGTAGTGTGTAGTTTAGGGAATAATAGCAAGAAAAAATGTTGGTACAGGTTCAGTACTGCTGCAATCTTCTTTGTGTATATTTTCAGTCCACAGCATGGACCTGCCGGTACAGCAGGCCGACTGCATTCCTGTTTTCTTCTGTGTGCACAGAACATCTCTGAGTGACACACAACTGCACATCCTGTGTCACCTGTCCTGTTATTGTGAGGGGAAATCAGGGGTGGCTAATTTTTTTCTACAGTCTTTCCGAGTTTTAACATTTGTAACTTCTTCCTGAACTGTCTTTTCCAATAAAAATGAAGAATTAAAAACCAGCATATTAAGATAAACTAAAGAAAGAATATTTTTATGTGTTTGCTTCCCATGGTGTTTCTAACCTTTAAGTTCTCTCTTGATTCCACTGACAACCGCAACATTGAAATAGCTGACATTCACGCCCATTGCAGAGTATGTGAGTCTATCCCGGTGACAGCTTGGTCACACCAGGATCATGGCTTCTCTTCCGACTTATAAGACAGAACACTGAGGCTCAGGGAGCAGACCGAGTCTGCCCAGCTGGCAGGACTGTCACTGACACCCTGCCGTCCGCTGTCTCCACACATCCTGCACTTGGGCCAAGAGCCAACATTCCAGGATGAGTGGGAAGAAAGAGAAGTCAGTCCTTGCACAGAAGCAAAGGCAAAAACCATCAGCATCACCTCCTTCAGCAAAGGTGGCCAGGAGGGGGGTCCCCAGGGAAAGAGCAATGGTGGAGAGCAGCAGTCTTGTGGCACTTTCTGTTCGCTTCCACGATCCCTGCTCCGGGCTGTGTCCCCGCACAGTGTGGGAGGAAGCGGAAGGGACTCACTCACACAGGATGCTGAGGGCTCCCTGCAGGAGCTCCTCAGTGGGACTCGGTCAGCGCTAGGCATGTGATGTTGGAAACACTCACAGGCAGCTGCTGTGGTCCCAGCTGCCAGCCAGGGTGGACAGGAGCTGGGGGAAAGGGGAACAAGCCTGGGGAAGGAGGGGCACTGAGCAATAAAGGCCTTGCACAGCTGGTGACATGTTTCTGAGAATCCAGAGGGCCACTGCATGGCCAGGGCTGAGCACAGAAAAGACCTCAGAGTGAGGACTGCCACTTCCGGCTGAGTCCTAGCCTCTGGCGAGTAGGAGGTGCAGAGTCCTAGACAGGCTGGCTCAACAACACCCAGAGCTCATCGCCAAAGATGGGAGAGGTTCTGGCTCCAGGCACTGAAGAGCATCACTAGCCGATGGCAGCTAACCAGCAAGCTAATGCAGCAGAGGCCTTAGCGCCACATGAAACACAGACTTGGCCAACTCAGTTCAGCTCCAAAGCCGCTGAACAGAGAGGGACGATGAGCAATGGCAACACGCCCGAGGGAGGGAGGAATCTGACTTCCATGTGGCCACGTTAGAATATTAAAGAACATAACCCAGATGCACTGAAAGTACCGAAAAGGGAAATTTGGATAGCTTCAAAATAATGGTCCCTAAGGTAGTCCAGACGGGATTTTTAAAAAATCCTCCAAATGAGTCATGTTCAACACTCAGAACTAAGGAAACCAGGTTTGCGCGTGCCGGTGCACAGCATCATAAAGACGCTCAAAACCAGGGACCCGTTCACTTTAATGCTACAATGGTGAATTTTATATTATGTGAACTTTTTCTAAATTGAAACAACTTTTTTTGGTTCTCCTTGATGTGAAGTCACTTTGCTGTAAGGAATGAAGTGTGCAGCCGCTGATCCTGACTGTGATACGTCAGTCGGCAGGCGCCCTCCTGCCTCCCTGTCCCCTTCCCTGGATAAACATCCCCTCTTCCCTCCCTTCCTAAAGAGACAGATAGCTCAAATGTCACTTCCTCCATGCAGTCACCCACACCTCTCCATGCTGGGCACACACCTGCATCCTCGGGGCTGGGGCAGTGTCTGTACAGATGGTCTGGTGCCCACCCAGCCTGCTGGCATCGTGACCCTTAGACACATCTGTCTCCTGAGTCGGGTGTAAGTTGTCTGAGGGCCAAAGTGAGTTTAAAGTGCGTGTGTGCCGCATCCTCAAGCATGGATGCAATCAGTGCCTGGCATTCATGAGTATTAATGCAATAAAGATAATTCTTCTAAAACCTGCTCTCATCATCTGTCTGCATACAAAACCTGTGCCAAAGTAAACATCCTTGGGAGTGCAGTGAATTTACATAAAACAACGTGAGGGTTACCTATCCATCTTCTATCACAAAATGAGTAAAGAAGTCTCTCTCCCGATGTATTTGATACACCTGGTACCAGATTGCCCTAAATCTAGTTCACAAGAGCTAAAATGCTGACTTTCAGCTTTTGTGACAATTCTTTTAGCTGTTCCAGTGAGTTCTTAACAGAATCTCAAACAATCTTCATGAGATAATTATTTCAAAAACTTTAACCATAAAGCACATGATTCAACACCATGGAAAACACTGTCATGGACACACTTCCTGATGCTGAAAGGCACAGCATGGAATACATTTACTTGGCTCTAAATTACAAGCTAAGCTTCCAGCGCCGCCCTCCGAGGAAGGAAGACGGGTGGGCCACCTTTCTGCGCTCACCTCCCGCTCCATGGTCTTCCTCCTGAGCAGCTTCTTCATGCTTGGGAGTTGCTTCTTCAACAGCATTGTGGCTTCGTTCATCCTGCGGACTTGGGTGATAAGGAAAGATGGAACCTGGAGAAGAAAAGTAACTTAGCTAGAGGGAAAACACTTGCTAAGACCTCCCTCGAAGATTCTGTCTTCCAATATGGTAACATCTCCTGGCCACTCAGCACCTGGGAACCAGGGGCAAGGGCATTTATCCTTGTAAAATTTATAAAACCTGAAGAGAATTTCTGTGTAATGGGGAAAACATGTTAAAGAGGAGCTCTTAAAGAATGTCCAGCCATGTCGAGGTACCCAAGGGGGATTAGCGTCCAGGACGGCAGGCTCCCTTCTGTAATAAAATGGTGGAGCTTCCTCTCAGACACTTGGAATCATTTCTGGATGACTCATAATACCACCACCATGTGAATGCCATGGAAATAGTTACACTATATTGTTTGGGCAATAATTACAAGAGAAAAAGTTTGTCCATCTTCATTTCAGACAAAATATTTTTGAGGACTATTCTCCATCGGTGGTTGGTTGACTCTGGAGAAGAACCTGCACAGGCGGAGGCTCCTGTGAGGAGGTCACAAGCCACCTGGGCTGGACTCACTTGATCGTGGTGCCTTTACGTCTCCTGGAGTTGGTGGACTTCAGAGGGGGCCCCGACAGCCTCCCCATGGCTACTCACCTTCCACAGGATCTTCTGGTACTTCAGCATCAGGCGGAGGATGTGGGCTGCAGTGTTGGCCAGCAACAGCTCCTCACAGTCGGAGTGCTTGCCCCGGCTGAAGAAGAGGTTGGGTGCCATCACCGTGGAGATGTTCCACACACTCATGCGGTTTTTGGATTCGTTGGCTATCACTTTATTGAAGAACGTCATGAGGGCCTGATAAGAAACAGCGACACATCACACTGCTGTACACGGCCAGCGGCTCCGCTGATGGCTTCCCTTCATCTCTGCCCCCACTCCCAGTGTGCTGCAAGTGGTGGGATGCAGAGAAGGCCCCCCTAATTGCTTAAAAAGTACTAAGGAGAAAGGCGATGTCTGATTCATAGAATAACTCTGTTTTTATAGAGTTTATTATATTAGAGTCACTGTAAATAGTTGACATTTTCTTCTTTTCCTTTACCCTAAGCAAGTTTGACAAATATTAAAATTTAACATAAGCCAGAGAGAGAAAACACGGCTGCTCAAATAAACACGAAATGGAGTTTTGTTATGAAGAAAGGAAAGTAACCCTAAAAAACACCTTTAACTTACAGCATCACTGCTGGAAATGATTTACTGTTTTCCTGAGGCAAAACCTCATCTAAACAACACCAGTCTCCTTCCTCAGCCCCAAACGTAAAATAAAGGCAGCTGAAAAATTTAAAAATTATTTTTTGGGTGACATTTTTCTGTTTCGTTTTTCGATTTTGAGACTTCCAGTTTGTCACAGATAAATGCTTATGTGGAGGTGTTCTAAACATTAAAAAAGAAAAATAGAAGAACTTGATAAAGCTTAAAAGTTTACTGAGCCACCAGAGAATAGATATTTATCAGAATCAGCCAGGGATTTAGCTTAGTGGTTCCACCGCCTGCCTCGCAAGTACCAGGACCCAAGTTCAATCCCCGGTACCAAAAAAAAAAGAAGAGGAGATGGCACAGATATTTATCAGAACCTTTAGAAATACACCAAGAGGACAGAAATCCAAAATCCACAAAGGAGGTGTGCTTTGGTTTTTCAAGTTTGAATTCCACTACAGAATTTGTGATAGGAAAATGTGCACACACAGTGGTCGCAGTAGTTAAGATCTGAGAGTGTATGACAGGGCACAGATTCCTCTGAGTGAGATGCACATCTCCACTCTTCAACCCTATGAGGTCGTCACTGTCACTGTGCTGTTCTACACGAGGAAACTGAGGCAGAGAGGACTGGGCAGCTCTGCCAGCCCTGGCAGAGTCAGGACCCGAGCTACGAAAGCCAGTTCCTGAGCTGGAGTTCTTGATGCCTACATCACACTGGCTCCAGTCTTAGTCTTGGGCACCGTTCAGAATGGAAACAAACAGATCATGTGCAGGCATGTGTGCATATGGATGTGTGAGTGTGCATATGTGTGTATCTGACAGCTTCACCTGTCCCCTGGTGCTTTTGGGGGGATCTTTTTTAAAAGAAATGTATACAATGATTTGACAGTTTCTGCACCCTCAGGTTTATGAGAGAGTAGATGACATTTTTACCTACTGATATCAGGTGGATTTTTAAAATATAAAGTAACATTGTTTTGATAAAGCTGAAAAACCAAGCTCATAGAGCTCTAGCTTTTGAAAAATTACCAAACCATATTGGAAACAAACATTTCAATGTCTGGAAATCCCCACCCTCATGTTGAGGTTATGGTATAAATGACATATGTAAGTGGCATAGAGATTTTCATCATGAGGGCTAAGATCCTCACACCGGAGATGTCTGCTAAGAGGTAGCACCACGAATCATCTTGTTCTTAACATTAAGTTTACTGGTCTCAAAATTAGGGGTTATTGTAATGGCTGTGTCTAGATTTCCCCCAAAGCCTCATGTGGTCTTGGGGGGACTTTTCAGAGGTGGCTGGATCTAGAGTGTGTGATGCTGGGATCAAGGATGTGTGATCACTCAATTAGTCCATTTATTCATTTTGCACAGTTCTGGATGTGGGCAATGGGGAGGCAGATGCGGGGTGAGGTGCTGCTCACCCTGAGGGCATGGAGCCTATACAATACAAGGGGCAGAAAGAGGGCTGTTTCGGGCACTTGCTGCTTGCTACTTTGCTGCTTTGCTGCCTCCTGCCTACCATGAACTATTTCTCTTCTGCTATGTCCTTCTGCCATGCCTTGTAGCCAGGCAACTGTGAAGTGAAACCCCTACAGCTGTGAGCCAAATAAACCTTTCCTCTAACTTGGGGTGTCAGGTATTTTGGTTCAGCAACAAGAAAATAATTTAAGACAATTATTTTCAACTCATCTTCATCTCAATTTCATTTTGAAGATTCCAAATACCTATTGTACTTAACCAAATTTCCTGTTTTACACAGAATCATTATCAAAATGGCAAGAGAAATCCTTATGAACATATAGCACAGAAATAAATTTGAAACAAAGGGGAGACATTTGGGAGGAAGAACTATGGTATAATTCTATCACATATTGTACATTAAAGGCCAAATCACTTCTTGGAGCTTATTTTCCTAAAGGTAAAATGACCAGATTCTATCAAGTGATGCCCCAAAGTCTAGAATTACTCATTATCTTCATACAACATGAAAATTTTAAAAGCTTGACAATTTTATAACAGTTTTTAAGTTTTATAGCAATTTAAGTTTGAAAGTTTTATAACAATTTTTTGCAGTTTCAAACTTCCTCCCCAAGACACTAAAGCAATCAGCTGAGGCTCTGCAATCATACTGTCTTATGTTTTTCGAGTCACAACATAGCCTCATTTACTTCTGACCTTGTTCCATTTGAGCTGCCCATTTTCGGGGGAGGGGCAATATTGAACCCCGGCCTTTGGACTGAGCTACGTACCCAGCCCTTTTTAAGTATTTAAATGTTGAGACAGGGCCTCACTAAGTTGCTTAGTTTCCAAAGCTGGACTTGAATTGTGATTCCCCTGCCTCCACCTCTCAGAGTGCTGGGATTATAGGCGCACTCCACCACAGCAGGCTTTCCTCTTCTCCTCCCAGCACTCAGTGTCCCCGGAATGAATGGGATGTGGGAAGCATCAGTGTCTAAAGAGGATCCCAGGCTCCCATCCTTGCTGTCTTGCTCAGCTCACGACAGCAGGTCTGCAGCTGCACAGATGGTGCTGTGAGCTGTCACCGCGGCCTCCATTTCCCCACACAACACACCCCTTGGGGCCGCAGGAGCCCGCAGTGCAGGGGGTGTGAGGACGTACCTGGGCCGTGTCCCTGTTGGCATCCGGCAGCGCCATGACCATGAGGTGCAAGGCCTGAAGCTGCACTCTGATGTGGGACCCTCCTGCAAGAAAACAGACAACCACACACATGGGACGGCACCCAGCCTGGGACAGCGCTCTCGCTAACAGCTGGGGGCACAGGGGGTGCCTGACAGACCTGGGTGGTACCGATGGACGTGGCTTTGGTGTCTGACAACCTCACTGTGATCCCTTGGCTAGTGGCCCCACTCTGTCACTTCCCTTCTCATCTGCAATACCACTGCCGGCACAGATGGCCAAGAGCCTCAGGAAAATGCTGGATGTGCCTAATATTCCCTTGTTGAGGCATTTTCACAGGCCTTGCCTTGCTTTTGTACCATAAAGAGAAGGTCTGATGGTCAATTCAAGAGGAGATTAACCTTGCCTTCACATACAGAGGCAGCAACATACAATTATTAGGAACCAGGTTTAAGTCCTGCATCTCCTACCCCGTCCTTCTGTGAGCCCAGCCAGATCCCTGAGCCCTGTCGCTTCTATTTATCCTCTGTAATGTGGGAGTGGTCAGGTGTGTACTGCCCAGGGCTGGCCTGAGGATTAAGTGAACTCCTGTGGACAGCATCTAAGTCAGCTCGAATGGCGGTCCTCCTCGTTTGTGTGCGTGTGTGTGTGTGTGCGCGCGCGTGCGTGCGTGCACTGGTTTGTGAGTCAGGGCTGCTGGTTCTGTGTCTCACAGGGACGTTCAGAGAAGGCGGCTGCAGTTTGGTCTTCCCTGACTGTTGAGTGTTTAATTACTTCGTGACACAAGGTGGCGGCAGAGGGCTGGCAGTGACAGGAGGGTGCTGCGCCCCCTGGAAGGCCACTGCCAGCCAGGCTGAGAATCGGAATATGTGCCTGCGGGCTGGGGAGGAACAGCCTTGTCAGAAATCGAGCCACACAGGAGCGGAGGGAGGTGTTCACAGGACTCCGTCATGGGCACCAGCCTTGGGGTGGTGGATATTTGTGTCAAATGTGTAAACCAAACCCGGTGCAGGGTCCCAGGGTTGGGACATTACTGAAAATAGCAAATGCGCATTGGTGTAAGCCTGCCTGAAAACAGGGCCTGAAAACAGGACCCGCCTGAAAACCAGCTCAGCCCAGGACACTTAGGGACAGAGAAGACAATTTTTAAAGCACACACTGTAGGCTGAGGCCTCTCCAATCCCAAAACATCACGAGTGGAAAAGCCCAATAGGTGTCGTCTTGGGAGCGAGCGCTGTATTCCCGCTGCTTTCAGAGAAACAGGGAGGCTCTCTTTGTCATTAAAATCGAATTTGGCAAATAACCCATTTTCATTTTACTTAGAAACCTGGCCCTACACGGTTTGGGGTTAATACTTTTGTAATTAATTTGTTTAACGCATCTGGGTAGAAAGCTGGCTTCATCCTGAGATCACCGTTTTCCCAGAAAGTGACTACACTTTTCCTGAAGGTGGTTGAGGCTTGATTCGTGAACCATTAGCTCATTAATGGTGCAGGCAATTTAGGGGCTGCGACTGAAAAGAGAAAGTCATTCAATGGGCCGGGAAGGAAGCTGACTATCGAAGGGCAGCTTTCAATCTGCACCCCCACACATGCACAGTGCTCCCCTTCCGGAACAATTGCTGCTGAGCTACAGCTTGCTTCAGGTGACAAGAAGCCCATTATTTCCTGTGAGTCGCAGGCCAGAACTCTGGGCTTCCTGCAGAGTTGGCGGGTATCAAATCAATCACCTGCAATCTAGGATTTTTCACTTAGAAAGTCCTACAAAGAAGTAGGGTCCTGCACGATCCCCTCCGGAGATTCATCAGACCCCTCTTCAGTGCAATGTGCCAGCCGCAGCCAGAGGGGAGGATGGTGTGCAGGAAGCTCATGCCGTCGCCTGCCTTGCAGGAAGCCCATAGTGCTGCTCTGGACAACTCTGGCTCCTTGCATAACTCACCACACCAAACCCCAACCAAAATTCCCCTATGGCTCCAGTTTGTTTGGATGCATTGTTTAGCATACAAACCGCAGAGCAAGAGGAAACTCATAATTCTGCAGCCTATTTTCCAGGAGGGCAAACATCATGGAAAATCTTGTTCTTTTTTTTTTTTTTTTTCCTGCAAAGTAAGTAATTTTGCTTTTGGAGCAGGGGAGTAAGCTCCCGCCAAATCAACTGTCCTGAAGGCACCGATAATCTCTGGACAAAGTCCCTGCACAAAGACCCGGGGCAATGGAGAGTGAATGAGACAAGCAGATGCTGGAGAGGACTGGCACCCGGGACAGGGCATGGCACAGGGAGAGGGACACTCTTTTCTCCTGGCCTTTGGCTTAAGGTCCTGCCACGGTCAGGGCTGCCCGGGATGATCAAGGCTCAATAATAAATTACCAAAAAGTCCTGGTCTTTATGGCCTGAACCAGAGTTCATGGTGGAATCCTGGAAAGGAGAGACTCTGAGGGGGAAAGCCTTAATTGTGGAATAAAGTCCAGTGGAATCTCACAGGCCCACGAGTGTGCCCACGAGGGGGCAGCAAAGGATGAACTCATAGCGCGGAGACTTACTGAGCCGTTTGTTGGCCTAATGACCACTGGCAATTGAGTCTAGCCAAGCAGATTACCTGCCTAAAACAGCAACAATGAACAGAACGGATCTCAGGTAGAATTTCGACTTCCTTGACGTACAAAGTCACAGGAACCTGAGATCCAACCTCTAAGACAGAGACCAGTCCTGAGATGACTCAGGAACTGGAACTACTGACAAGGGTTTTGAAGTTGGTTATCAAACTATCCCCAAGGATGTAAAAAATAATATGCCTAAGGAATAAAAACGATAGGGCCTTGCAGCAGATAAATAAAAACACTTTAGAGCATCGCCTGGAAACTCTAGAACTGAAAAAAAAAGAAGGGGACGAGCTTTTGTCTGCTTCTCAGCAAATTTTTCTCCGAAAATAAAAACTCGAGCTCTTACAAAGAAAAGACATACCTGCCCCTGATGGCATGGGAGTTACAGCTCAAAGACTGCCTTGCCTATCATGGTCTCTTATTGAAGGAAAAAATATCTTTGTGACTCTGATTTAGTGAAAATATGAAAGATCAGGAGCTAGTCATTTTTAGGATAAGTTTGGTCACACAGCTTGGGGTCTACTATTATTTTCTTTCGTTAGGGATCTGATGACCTCACAGCTGTAGTCCACCTGCAGAAGGCTGCGAACGGGCAGATACAGATGCCGCTTGCTAAGCTCGCCGTGTTCAAAACTGTGAAACGGAGGCTGACATTTTCAAACGGAGAGTTTCCCCATGAAGGCCTGGTTGTGGCTCTCAGTCCTGCATGGAGCCATCACGGAGCACTGTGCATGGCCAGGCCACTTGTCGAGCTGGCCAGGTCCCTTTTCTGTCCACCCTTTTCTGTGGCCTTGTCACCTACTCAACACAGCTGTCCACACCCTCATCTCCTCGGGTTGGACACTGGAGCCCCTACTCTACTTCTCTACGTTTTGTCTTTTGCCATATCCTGTACAATATCCAACCTTTACGGTCCACCTGTGTCAGACTGTTCCCCGACTGTCAAGTACAGAGCTCCAATGTCTGTGGTTTCAAACATGTCACCTAAGACCAGACTGATAAGATCTGGTGACTTTTCAGAAACACAACCTGAAGTGATTCTCAGAGGCAAAACGTGCAGCATGTGCGGCAGGTGGCATCTCCAGCCCCAGGACCTCGGAGGGAGGGAGGGACCTCATGCTTTTCAGTGGATTCTTACACACGAGGCACTTTCTAGATGATTTCATTCAGCACCCACAACAGCCCTGACAAGTCCCTGTCACCTGTCATTACAGGGGCAGCAGCTAAAGGTAAAAACCTTGACTGCATTGCTGACAGGGCACACTGGAATCCAATCGCCACGGCTCTGTCTTTGAACGAAGACAGAGCCCTCTACATCCTGTCTACCAGACTTCAGTATGGTGGTGTGCATGTGGGTGAGTGTTTACCATCAAACTCAGCTTTTTAACTACATGGTGTCAGGAAGGAGCTGCTCTCTCCCCTACGATCCATTTCATTCTGCGCCTCGGTTCTGCTGCCACTTTACCGACCCTATTTATATCCAAGCCCAAGAACATGTAGTGTCTTTCACCTACTTTCCATCAGGGCGACGAAGGCAGGTATGTATTCCACAGGGAAGAGAGAGGTTGGCAGTTCTCGGAAAAATGCTTTCAGCATCACTGCAGCTTCTCTGTGGCACATTTTGTCCCATTTAAATTTATCGGCATTGAACTTGGTATCCAGCTCTTCACGGTATTGCTGCAAAGCATGGAAGATGGTCAACATTCAGTGGGTTTTTATCCCTGGGCCCCCTTCATCCCTTTGGAAGCTCTCATTAATGAACCACTTTTGCAAAGGCATTCATCAAGGCAGCACTGTCTAAGCCTGGTTTTCAACCTGATTAGAGAACTGAAATAGGTATTTGGGGTTGAATTTTTAAAAAGAGCTTTTGGGAAAAGTTTTCAATTAACAATAATCATGCCTTGGATAAACCCCATTGGCTAGGACACTGCCACTGTACAAAGCTAAAAAGAGCTTTTGTAAAAAATAATTTTGTGTGTGATATTGGGGTTTGAACCTAAGACCTTCACATGGAGCGCTACATTTCAAGTCCTTTTCATTTATATTTTGAGACAGGGTCTTGCTAAGTCACTAAGTTGTCCAGGCTGGTCTCAAATTCGAGATCTTCCTTCCTCAGCCTCCCAGAGTGCTGGCATTACAGACATGCAGCACCAAGCCTGGTCAAATATATTTAAAAAATAATGTTAACCTTGAAATAATTTGCTGAACCTACACAAATATAAAAGTTCTTTACTTAAGTTGCAGTTTCATGTGTGTGGCTTGGGCAGGATCCCACTACTCCTCATGTGAGGAATGCACAGCTAGCTTGTGACAAACCCTCCTTCCTCTTTTTCACAATCCCCTCTGCCACCCTGGCTTCTCTTTCTAAATTAGACTGAGACTGTGCGGCTCTCCACGGGCCGCATACAGAAAGTCCCGGCAGAGCCACTCTGACCTCGCTGCAGACCAAGGACATCTTCCTGGAGTACAGACAACACACACACAGCTTTTACATGTAAAGTTTTGGCTCCATAAGGTCAGCAGCACTGTGAAAGTGCTTTAAAAAAAAACAACTTTTAAAAAAGTGCTAAACCTCCTTAAGTTCTGTCTTTCAAATTTTACATTATCAATTTGCCTGATTATCAATACCAACCTTCTCCATGTTTCTTTTCCAAAATTGAACTAATTTTCTTCTAACTGCTCCCTTCAACTACAAGGTCCTCAATGGTGCTAGGAGTAAGTACTCCAAACAGGGTGGCCACTTGGACTCTCCCTGCTTTGTCTTCTGGAGAAGCCTGATTCTTCTGGCCTGAGCACACACAGACAGTCAGCTTGCTCATCTCTCCCTCTCCTACCTAGACCAGCTCTGTAACGTGCCAGGCACAGAGCGCTCCTGGATCTCAGAGCCTGCAGAAGAAACCAGTGTCTCCACAGACACCTGTAATTCAGATCTGTGCCCCACATCTACTGATAAATTTGAAGATTTTCTTCTTGTCCTGTACTAATGGAAATACTGCAGCTAATCAAGCAATCCTTTGCAAGTAAGATGCATTTGATAAAGCCTTCCACACACATGTGAAGTTCATCCTTGAGCAAAGGTGATCACGCCCTGGACTGGGCTCTGGGGAGAGGAAGATGCCTGAGACCTGCCTTGTGCCTGTGGGCACCTTGTAGCTTAGCAGAGGGGCCTTTTTGAGTGGACACTGCTAACTCAGACTGCAGAGGCCACACATCGCTGCTGGGCAGCCTGCAGAGCTGGGATCTGGGCTGCTGGGGCCAAGTCTGAGTCCTGCTGAGGAGCTTGCAGGGAGAGGGCACAGGAAGGCACCACAGCCAGGAGGAGGCACTGTGCAGGCAAATGCAGCGCATGGAGCTTCAATGTGACAGGGTTCCTGGACTCCCAGGGGACTGGGCTGCATCCTGCAGGCACCGAGGCAACTTGGAACATTTCTAAGCAAAGGGGTGGTGAGGTTAGACTCATCTTATCTGACAGCTGTATGGAAAGATGACTGGGAGAGTGTGGAACTTGGGGCGGGGTAGGGACAGGGAAGGGGCCAGGAGTCCAGTTATTGGCTATGACACCACTTCTGCTGATGGGTGACCAAGGACTAACCGATAAGCAGTTGTAGAATGGAAAGGAGGGGGCATTTAAGAAATGCCGAGGAGGGAATGTGCCCAAGGACCAGTGATGGTCTGAAAGTGAGACTCAAAGTGGGAAATGGTGGTCCAGGATGATTTCCGGACTGTGATGGGCTGGTGGAGGTGTTGCTAACAGAAAGCATGAGCAGAGGGGTGAGCAATGCACACAGTGCCTGTCCCCCTGCTACAGAGCAAAGGGGAGATTGTTCTTCAAGTGGGCAGGAACCATCTGCAAAAGCAGAAGAACTAAAGTTTATTTCTCATAAATAGGAACCTATTTGGATCCTGACTGTGACTCTGCTAATCAATGAGTGGTGCAAAGTCATCCGAGAGACAGCATGGCCCCAGGCCAGAGTCTGGTGCTGTAACCAGGTCGTTGAGGCGTTGATGCCAACTCCACAGCAGACGCCTGGCCTGTGCCTCAAAGTTCTCCCCGTACAACAGCACAGCAGGGACATTAAAAAGACTTCCCTACCTTGGACAGCCAAAACCGTCTTGAGTAAAAAGAATAAAGCAGGAGCTATCACACTAACTTCAAAGCATCCCACAGAAGTATAGTAATAAAACATATGTTACTGGCTGAAAACAGACACATAGGCTAACAGAACAGAATAGGGAGCCTGAAGGTAAACCACACATCTACAGCCAAATGATGCTCGGCAAAGGAATGAGGAGCGCACATTGGAGACAAGACAGTGTTTTCAATACATGGTACTAGGAAAATTTGGTATCCACACGCAGAAGAGTAAGAATAAGAGACCTCTGTCTCTCACCAGCAGCAAAATTCAATTCAAAATGGATTAAAGAGAACCCATGGTAAAACCTTACACTATGAAACTACTAAAAGAAAGCATAGGGGAAATGCTTTGGGACACTGGAATGGACAAAGATTTTTTGACAGAATTCCCCAAAGCACAGGAAACAGAGACAAAAAGAGACAAATTGAATTCTATCAAACTAAAAAGCTCCGGCTTAGCAAAGGAGAGAAATCAGCAGAGTGAAGAGACAACCTACAGACTGGGAGAAAATATTTGCAAATTGTACTTCTGACAAAGGGTTAATATCCAGAATATTTAGGGAAACAAAGAAACAAACAAACAAAAATGACAGCAAGAACCAACTTGATTAGAATGTAGGTAATAGACCTAAGTAGACATTTCTCAAAAGAAGACATATGGATGGCCAACATCACCATATGAATCATCAGGGAAATAGAAATCAAAGCCACAGTGCAGCATCACCTCTGCATGAGTCAACCTTCCATCACTGTGACAAAATACCTGAGGATAACAACTTCAAGGAGGAAGGGTGTCATTTGGCTCATGCTTTCTGAGGTTTCAGTCCATGGTCAGCTGGCTCCATTGCTTTTTGGCTTATGGTGAGGCAGAAACGTCATGGAGGAGGAAAGCTGCTCACCTCATGGTAGCCAGGAAGCAGAAAGAAAAAGACAGAGCCAGAGCCAGAGTCAGAGAGGAAGGAAGGGGTCAGAGCCAAGATGTAATTCTCAAGGTCACACCCATCACAACCTACTTCCTTCCACTAGGCCCCGGGTCCTCAGTTACCATCACCTCTCAATAATGTCATTGAACTGAGAATCCATTGGTGAATTAATTTTCCAGAGAAGTTACAGCCATCATGATCCAATCACCTTCCAAAAGCCCCATGTGTGAATGCGTGAGAATTTGGAGGAATGTTTTAGATGACCACACTGGAAATAATGGTTATTCTAAAAAAGATTAAAGGTAAGAAATGCTGATGAAGATGTGCAAAAAAAGGGAGCCCTTGTTACTGTTGTTGGGAATGTAAATTAGTACAGCCATTATGGAAAACAGTATGGAGGAGCCCCCCAAAATTAGGAACACAATTACCGTATGATCTGGTATTCCCACCTCTTGGGTGTACATCTGAAGGAAATGAAATCAGTGTGTGAAAGACACATCCACACTGCCAAGTTGATTACAGTTCTGTTCACAATAGCCAAGAAATGGAAACAACCAGTGCCCACCAAGTGATGACTACACAAAGAACAGTGGTACACACATACCGTGGAACACCATGCAGCCACAAGAGGAAGGCCTGTCACTCGTGACAACATTCATGGAACTAGGATCGCTATGTTAGGTAAAATAAGCTGGGCGCAGGAAGACAAGTGTCACGATCCCACTCATAGGCAGTCTCACAGAAGCTGAGAGTACAATATAGGTGACCGGAAGCTAGGGACAGCACAGTGGATGGACGCTGAGTCACACTCACCTGTGACTATGACGTAGGACTGTGAATTTCTGGTACATTATTGCACAGTAGGGTGACTATAGCTAACAGTCAGTACTGTTTATTTCAAAAAGCTAGAAGAAAGGAAATTGAATGTTTTCATCATAAAGATGCTAAGTGTTTGAGATGGGTATGTTTCCCCTGATTTAAACATTGTACAATATATCCACTTATCAAAACATCGCACGGTACTCCAAGAAGTATATAGAATTTCTATGTTTTTAGGTATCTGTTAAAAATACACTTTAAAAAATGACCTTGCCGAGATGAAATCAGATCGTGTAACACAAAGCTCTTCACACCAATGCCATGGGCAAGCCTGCGGCCAGCAGCTCCAAGCAGGGACCACACACCAGGCCCTGAAGCTGCCCTGCACTTATAGCTGCTTCTGGATTACAGAAACAAGGCAACACAGAGAACAATTGGCTTTCTTTGTGCAACACTTGCCCAGCATTTGGCATTTCTGCCATGTTTCTCAAAGAAAATCATTGAACACCCAAAGCATTGAATTAGTTCCAAATGACCTGAGGCCTCAAATGCAACGCTGGCTCCACAGTCATGTCCCAGTTTGGCTAAAACCTAGCAGCTTCTTCTCAGAGCTGCTTCTCTGTGGGTCTATGTTTCAAGCACAAGGCCAGGCTGGATTGTTTCTTAGTGGATCCCCAAATAGCTGGTGTCATTTACTTGGCATAAGTAGGGACAGTTGTAATGGAGTTTAAAAAAAGAAACTCTCTTTCTGCAAGCACATTCCTACAAAAAGTAGTCCGGCGGAGGAGATTTTTAAAAAGAAAAAGAGAGGTTAAGGTTTGAGCAGAGCACATCAGTGAAGATCTCTTTAAGATACTGCATTCCAAGGCCTTCCTAACTCCCACCTGCCTGGCTCTGCTCACTGGCCCAGGTTTCTTGCACATCGGCTTTTCTGCAGTGTAAGCCATGAAAACATCTGGATGACATTTTTCAGATGAACAAGAGGTGGGATAAATAGGCTGACACTACATAAAACTGATGGAGGAGAGGGGCACTTTGACCTCAGGGTGGCTCGGGAATGTGCATGCCCGTGAGGACCCTTGGAAGGTACGATTCGCCTTGGATAAGCATGTCTCAGTCCAAGAGTAGCTCAAGAAAAATAACGTCTGCTAGAATGTGAATCACAGAGGGATGGAGTCTAGGTCTGTTTAGGAAATTTGTTTCTTTGACTTCCTTTTGGGTCTGTGATGCTACTGATATCCACAGATTTGACCACACTGGCAGTAGTTTTCAGTCTCCTTCCCAGGCATGCTGGCTTAGGACTCTATCTAAGGAGCAAACACGAGAGAAACTGAGACAAAAAGTAGATTCTGTGTAGAAACCATGAACTTTAGGAGCTCTAGGAACTGAGCTGTTTTTCAAATGAAGTTGTGCCTGCCTTTAGCTTTGGCCAGCTCTCTCCACACCCGATTCCTGGGGTAGCTGGTGACATGCCGGCTCCCTCAGATTTCCCTTCAAAAGAGAACGTGCCACATTCATCGGCTGCTGACTTGATTTGTGCAGCTGTTGGCCCTCTGGGGCCGCCTCAGCGGCGTCCTTTGAAGGAAGCGCAGGCCAGGCTGAGCTGGGGACGGTGCAGGCCCCAGGGGAGGAACAGGCCAGCCTGCACCGTGGGCCCTGCCCCTTCTTGCCCGCTTTAGCTTCCACAGGCACCAGCCCCCGGGGCTCTCTTCCAGGGCCAATCTGTGTCAGTGTTAGGCCTCTGGAGGATCCAGGAGACTCGGCTTATTTATTCTCCATTTCCACTTGAAAAACATCTAGTCACACTCCCATATAAAAGCCCCGCAACTTCTGATAACAAACAAGTTCCCGACACACACAGCAAAATGAAGTGATGAAGTATCTTCCCACCCTGTGGTTGCCGTTGAGTAGTTCTAAATACAACCGAATTAATTTTTCCCTCAGCTTCATGCTTTCCCCTTGGGGGTTTATCATTTCACATCTGCGAGAGGGGGGAGCTTTTTGCTTGGTGTATCCCCCGCCCCCAGGAGACACAGCGAGATTTTTCACGGGGGATTTAGGAGGAGAGCTCTTCGTGTCAGTGCCTCTTTCTTCACCAGTCTCCAGAGTTTACTGCCCTATGGAAGGGCGAGGACAAAGGGAGAGGGTTCCCAGGGCGGACACCAGCATCACCACACATGGAGTTGGGATTTTGACCCTCTGAATGAGTGTTCCTGTCGCCATAACCTCTGCTACCAACCCTTATACAAACTTTGGTTAGAAGGAGCGCCGAAGAATGCTTCCAAGCTTAATGCAACAGGTCATGGAAATAACGGCTTGTATGCTACTGGCTTGGTGGCTTCTGTGACACAAAAATGAAGATACTTAACCCAAAACAGTGATGGGCATCTGGAGACTAAAGATAAACAACAGTTCTTGACATGCACTGACTCCATGTTCTATTGTAGGTTGTTTATTAATTGTTTTGATTTTAAAAGTTCATGGAACAAACATAGAATTCTAGCTGAAGACAAGTAATGGTATCAAACACATAAATAATGTCAACAACGAAGACTAGAGTCCTGGTCTCATCTGAGCGGGGTCTAGACAGCTGATATCTCTAATGAGGAAGAGAGAAAACATTGGATACCTTGACTTTGGCAGTACATCCTGAAAGCCGAAAGATTCCTTCGGATTCCAGACCTGACTCCTCAACTTTCTCAAAGAACTGCAAAGCAAGGATAGATTACAAAATAAGTACCTCACAGGACCACAGACACTTGAAATAACAGCGAGGACAACAATGACGGTAAAACCCCAAGCCTGCATATCTGCCTGGTACTGAAAGTCTTGGCAAATGCTCACCATTGCCATACAAGGCCAGCGTTATCCTCCAATCTGCAAAGGAGCAACTGGAGACTTAACTTCTCCAAGAGCCACCTTGTGCCCTATTAACATGCTGCCTCTTAAACATTTTAAGTTCCGATGGCAACACTTCTCTCTGCAGACTGACCGTATGGAACAGTCTGAATTTGCTGTCAGGAGCTGCAGCCACCCTGGCTGTGAGCCTGTGAGGCCAACCAGGGAACTGCAGACTGCAAAGGTTAGTTGTTCTCACGAGTCCCCAAGCGTGGTGGTGATACACAAACTCATGTAATCCCGCCAGTAATCCTGTAAGTGGGTCCTATCATTATCCCCGTTCTACCGCTGAGCAAACGGAGGGATGGAAAGGCTAAACACCTATCTTAGCTTCCACAGTGAGGAGGCTCTGGCATCTCTGGGGTCTTAGGCAGCACTCACATCAGCAGTGGTAACAGCTCACACCTGCGGAGTGGCCGCTGGGACACAAATCCAGATTTACTTTAGCTTTTTATTGAGCACTTTCTGTCTGTTTCCACTGGCTAAGTTCTCCACTAGGTTCTTACACCTGCAAAATAACTTACATCCATGTGTTGAATATTCTGTCTTAAATTTTTATAGATTTTCTTCAAACTGACTTTACATCCAGGACTAAGGGCATAATTCGGGCTTTAATCCAAAGAAGGGAAGAAAGTCTTAGTTGCCTGGGCTTTTGACCTGGACACAGGCCCAGCCTCCTGTTCCTCAGCTAGTTCCTCAGCAGCAGGCAGAGGACAGCCCTGAGCTGGGTGCCCGGTGGGTGAGATGGGATGTTTATCATGTGACAGAGGGGGTTCTGAGTGGCCCTGGGCACAGAAGTGTCCCCTGTATCCTCTGGCCATCTGGTTGCCAGCCTCCTGCTCACATGCAACAGTTCAGAAACATCATTTTAAAAACTTTGTTCCACCAAAATTCTAGGTTTAACTGCTATTGGCCTGGTCACACCTGAAAAATCACCAGAACAAGCTGATTTTTAGATTTTATTCACTTCTAGTTGGAAATTTTAGGAAATAATTACACATCTGTGTTTAAAAAATTCAGCCTAGGATGTAACTCAACAAATATTGTATGATCCATAATTATAGCATTAATAATTAATGTTCCTCTTTAGCCAGGCACATGAGCAAACACACACAAACACAATACACATGCACAAATGACATCTGAAAAAGCGTCAGAAAAAAACCACAACTGAAGGAAGCCAGGAGACAGAGCCTCTGTGCCTGTCCCCTGATGGCTTTGGGTCACGTCACACAACAGGTGCCATTGGTCTCCAGTGTGCTGTGTGGAGGTGGTAGGACCCTACTGGGAGGTCGGGTCTGGCCCTCCAGTTCTCTGGCTTCCTGTCTGGGCATGTGACTGCTCCCTGTGGCACACCCCCCTACCCCAGCCACGTCACTGCCACAGAGTGATCCAGCTACGGGCGACTTTACCCGAGCTGGTGCCATGCTTTGTGGACATTCAGCCTTCAAAACTGTGTGTGAAATAAATGCTTTCTTATAAAAATTCAGCCTCAGGGATTCTGTTACAGTAATGAAAGGCAGACTAAAGGAAGGCCACGTGGCCTAAGTACTTGCAGCCTAAATTATGTGGAAACGTGAAGTGAAGCGGAAACTCACGACGGGCCTGGACCTGAACGGGACTACAGTGCATTCAAATCAAAAAGCAAATTCATTAGTGGGCTTACTAAGTACCAATCCAAGCAGAGGCTCGAGTGGCTCCCTGTTCGTTTGCAGTCTACTCACTTTCTGTAATATAAGGGGAACTTTCACCGCAGGGTCTTTCTTGTGGTCATTGTCCAGGAGCACGGTAAGTGGAACTCCAAAGATCCCATTGTCTTCATTGTGGGATAGTCAAGGTAGAAAGAAAAAGGAATCAGAAAAGCACTCTCTTAATCCAGCATGCCAGGGTCAAAGCCCAAAGCAATCAGTCCTCTCAGTTACCTCGTCCTTTTACTTTCTCTGTTTTGTTTCTTTTCAGTTGAATTCCAAAGGCATCAAGAAAGGCAGTCAGCTCGATCAGAGAGAGGTGGCGGATCTTCTTCATGTCTTCTGCTGACAGGTCTCCTGCTTCAGTGAGCCCAAATCTGGTCTTCTGAACAATAAATTTCTAAAATAGATAGGGAAGATATTGGGTTTTTATGGCCAAGGAAAACTATTACAGCTTCATTCAGGGCCATCTGGACCTTCTACATCTACACAGATGTTACGGTTTATGTCTAGACACCCCCACCCCCCCAAGGCTCAGGTGCACTTAGGTGGGCTTTTGGGGGAATGATTGGCTCATGGAGGCATGATACTCACAGGGGATTAGTCCACTGAAGAGTTTATAGCTAACTGTGATGTTGGGAGACAAAGACTGGTGGGAGGGGGTGGGTCACTGGGTTCATGGCCTGGAAGGGTCTATTTCCTTCCTCCTCCCTTGATCTCTCTGCTTTCTGCTGCCATGCCATGGACTATTTCTCCTTTGCCATGCCACCCTGCCTCGGAGCCAGCCAAATTATGGACTGGAACCTCTACAAACTGTGAGCCAAACTAAAGCTCTTCTCCTTTAATTTGTGGATGTCAGACAAATTGTCTCAGCAAAGTAACTAAGATAACAGCAAAACATGATACTTGCAAAAACAGGAGAAGAAAAAAAATCCTCTGAGGAGAATGTTGGGTCAGAGATTCTATGAATATGTATGTTTTATAAAACATTTGCAGACTAGTACTGTGCTAATTAGAAGCAAAAATAGCAGTCTGAAGTACCTGATGACTTCACTATGACAATTGTGGAAACTGCTTTCTCATAAGGGTTATCCTGCACTGTCAAACAGCAGAGGAGCTGAGCACCACAGGGACTTTGCACACCACAAGCTTTCAATCCGAGTGACACATGGTGTACACATATGAGATAACATACCTAGGTCTAGTCCAGGAGAGCTGTTGGTGGTCTTAGTATAGACAGTCCCTCTCCTTAATTCAGGCTTCGCATATTGCACAGTTGCATACTTTAAGAGACTCTTAGTAACCTCCCCATTGGCCAGATTACCCATGGTTACTGAGACAGCAGTTACTCTACCTTAAAAACTAGATTTAGATGATTCAAATTCTTAAAAGAGTAAAATGCAGTAAAAGTGAGAATAGTCTTACTAACTTTTGGAAGACAACAATATTATTACATTTTCCATTTCCACATGAAGAAATAAAATGCACTGAAGCAATACCCACAGATCCATGACAGAATCTAAAAACATGGTAAAGAATTCAAGGGGCCAGTAAAAGATGATTCTTATATAATATCCAGAAGGTATTTCCTTTCAGAGAACTGGACAATGAAAACTATGCTAAGGCAATAAAAATCCCACAGTCATTTAAACTACAAAGATTTAAAACACACCTTCCACAGGGGTTCCTTATGTTGGTGATAACTTGGGGATACCACACCATCTACTGATATGCTGGAAACCCAAGTACTTAAAAGCAAGACAGCAAAAAAAAAAAGTAAGACAGCAAAATGTAGGATGTAGCTGTGCTCGTAAATGCTCTTCATTGTCTTCTGTTCTTCCAGAGACCAACATCCCCTGACAATAACCCACCAACAGGAACCGCTTCGGCCATTCTGCAAGCACTGCATGGCGGATATGCACCCCAGAGGCCATGAGTCAGGAGGAGGCAGCTTTGATGAGGAGACCTCTCTTGCCACTCTCTAAAGAGACCTATAAGAAGGGCCTGTCTCTGACACTAGTCTCCGGGGCTTCTCTCTGCGTCCTGGAAAGTCACTGTGCCCTCCAGTGTGGGGACTTCCTGGAGACTAGGAAGGGTTGGGATTTTGACACACAGGTTTGAAATCCTGTTCCTCTGGGCCTTTGGCCACATGACTTAGCCAGGGTCCACCTGGCAGCTGCAGCCCCTGGCTCCACATCAGGGCAGGGATCGGTGGGTCCTAGTGAGTCCTCCCTCTCCTCTCCTCCATCTCAGAGTGGTTGTCTGGAACAGTCCAGGCCACCTGGTGTGAAAGGCCTGCTCCTGAGGACTTACTTGCTCTCTAGCTCTGACACAGCCCAAGCCCTGAGCATGGAGCCTGTAGTTCAATCAGCAGAGGACATGCAGGTCTCCAGGTCATAAATTCTGCAAACACCTGTTTACTTAATGAACAGCAAATAGATGCGTGTGACCTAGTTCCAGGTCGGGCTTCTAGGACACACTGTCACAGACACACAGGAAGAGGCTTTCAGGGTAACAGGGTGCGTAGTCCCACTGGCCTGTCTTGTGGTGACACCAATTCTTGCGTCTCCTGAGTTCTTAGCAACTGCCCTCTGAACGCTCCCTTCTTGGACTCTGACTCTCTGCAGCGCCCCTTCTGATGTGTGATGTACACACAGTCAGTGTCTGCACTGACTCACCAGTGAAGTGCAAGAACACTCACAAGCCAGGCTGATGCCCCAGTTCTGTGCTGTGGTTGGGATCTATATGGCCTTTGTGCAGCAGGCTTGGTCCCCAGTCTGTGGGGCTATTGGGAGCTGCTGGGACTTTTAGGAGGCGGGGCCTAGTAGGAGGAAGTAAGGTCACTGGGGGCGTGGCCATGCAGGGGATACCGGGACCCAGGCCATTTCCTGTTTCTCAATATACTTCCTGCCCACCCTGAAGTGAACAGCTTGTTCCACATGTGGTCTGCTGCTGCACGCTCCTCCCAAACACAGTAGGCCAACTGACCACGCTGAACCCACTAACTGTGAACCCAAATCTATCTTTCCTCTTTTTAGGCTGAGTTATCTCAGATGTTTTTCAAAGCAAAGGAAAGCTGACTAACCCAGTCTGTGAAACGGGATTGGGTTTATGTACATAACTTGTTTTCCACACAGGGGTGCTAGGTAGAGCCAGGTAGGCTGGGCACGGCTCAAGACATGCTGCTCCTGTAATACCCACATGTGGCAGGCAGTGCTCATGCCCGGCCTGTGTACTGACAGAGTTTTTTTTTTTTTTAAGTCCTCAGTTTGGCCCATAGAGAAGTTCCAGAAAGTTACCAGAATGATCGCGAAGGGTTGTACTTACAGTTAAAGCGTAGTCTTCTTTCTTAATCTCTGATTTCTTCAATTTGTTTCTTTTTGGAGCCTCTGTCACCAGTTCTGAGTATGACACTTCAAAGGACAGCTCCTCAGCCTCTGCTGGAATGTTCTTTCCCAGATAGTCATTGTCTCAAAAAAAAAAAGATGTAGGGTATGTAACATACCTCTCAAAAAACACTATTTACTGTAAAAAGCCACAAAAGGCTCACAAGGTGACCCACAAGCACATGAGGACGTTTACATCCAGAGACAGGCATCAGCTCCCCCAGGAGTTCAGTGAGGCAAGCACACAGTGAGATCCAACTTGACGTGAATACATTTCTATCAGCAGCCAAACAAACTCTCCATTTCATCTGATTTTTTAAATGTTAGATTTTTATGTCTCAGAAAGTTTGCTGCTGATAATTATTTGCAGCCAAAGCCCCTAAACAGGGAACTTCTATATATCCTTATGTTCTTAATTAAACTCCATTAGACTCAGTGTTATTGTTCTTGGGGACCAAGAGGAAGGAAGGGGAGGTCCTGCTAACTTTCCTCTCTACTTTATTCTTTTGTGTTTCTCCCCTAAAACTGTGGAATATTTGCCTCTTACGATTCATTTCCATTCAATTTAGAAGCTCCTGCGAGTTTGCTCAGGTGAATTAATTGGAACTGGTGTCATGTGATGCTGGCCCCCGACTTGCAGGACACACATTAGGAAAAGTGGACTTGCGCCCAGTAGTGCCTCACAGAAGCTCTTCTCTCCGGCTGGCCTGAAAGTTACACAGAAGATGCACAGCTCTGACCCAAACCAGAGGGATTCATAAAGTGTGTGCGCCACCCTGCTCTCTGATTTCTGCCTTTGGCTTGTCATTTTGTTCTACTGTGTGGTGAAACTGCTCATATGCCAAGTAAATAATTACTCATATCTTTTATTTTTGCTAGTCCATGTTTGCAGCACACAATGATTACATTCACCGTGGGGATCGGTGCGTGTACAGGACACATCTCACTTCATTTTATTTTCCCTCCCTCCCTCCTTCCTCAATGTCCATCTCCCCATGCCCATTCGCAAAAGATCTGTCTCCTTGTTTCTTATTATCTAGCTTTAATTTTGGACTTTACTATTTATACTTTGGGTTTCTTATATTAGAAAAACCATTCAATATTTAAATTGTGTGTCTGATTTATTTCACTTAACATTTTGGTCTGGAAGTGCATCCATTTTCCAACAAATGACCAAAATTTATACTTCCTTATGGCAGGGTAATATTCCACTGTGTATATATACATTTCTTTATTCCTCAAAAAACTAAAGAATTACTCATATTTGATTACAGAAAGAATACTCTCACTTTCGCCTCTTCTATGAACACTGTGTGATGAAATAGGAAAAAAGGAACAAATAGCAGAATTAAAAGATTTAATTCATTTTACCTTCAAAGTTGAGTGAAGAAATTGATAAGACAGCAGATTTAAGAAGTCTGAACTAATTGAAAGTGTAATAAGTGGATACAGTAAGAATTCAGAGAATGGCAAAGGTAGAGGTATACTTTTTTAGTGGGAATATGGAGACCTGCCCTCAAAGCAGATGAAGGAACGTTATTAAATAGTAGGCTAACTTCGCAAGGACCTAGGCACAGACTCTGTGAGACCAGAGGTTAAACAGGTGGCTCTCCTGAGTGCAGGATCACCATGCCTAGACTTCTCTCCTTTAACAGCAAGATTTGAGTGCACTGTGGTACACTAGCAAGCAGAATGACATGGAATAATTCCTGGTGAGTTCTCCTCTCTGTTTTCCTTTTTCCTGGTGTTAACTTTATTGTGATGCAATTCACACACCATCCAATTTACCAGTTAATCTAAAGTGCACAAATCAGTGTTTCTGGTATATTCGAATCAGCAGCCATCAGCACAGTAGACTTCAGAGCCTTCTCATCAGCTCAGGAGCTGATTGCTGCTGTGGTGGCTGAATGTACAGACACCGAAAAAAAAGTTCACAAATGTGGGGGAAACAGGGCAAGCACAGAAGTATGGCTTGCAGCATCTGGCCCACAGGAAGGGTGAGATCCCATTCTGAGCCCGTCCAGGGAGCCCCTTTGTCCCGTGGAGGGGCCCAGACCCAAGCTGGCCCTGTCCCTTGCTGTCACGAGCTGCTCAGGGTAGCTGCAGGTTCACTGCCCAGCTGAGCAGCTTCCCCTGGTGTGACTGCAGGGGAGGAGGTAAGGGCCCCTTCCCTCGCCTGGCTGGATTATCTCGAGTGACAGAGCAGGGTGTCCTGGGTGAGTGGGCAGAATGGGTGCTGGATGCTGTGGACTCATAACGGGGAGAAAAACACACTTTTGCTTTCAGAAGTTCACTCCTGGGAGAAAGGAGGGTGGTCACGGGTAGTGGTGCAGGGGCACAGGAGGGTTTCCATGACAATGACAACTACACAAGCTGGGGGAAAGGCTTGATCGGGCCTTGCCATAAAGAAATGGTTCGAGGGACAGAGAGGTCCAACCTGATGTAAGCATCGCACGGGGTCTGCCTGCATCATACCAGCACGTGTGCCCCACTGATATGGGCAAGTTGATGTTTTATGTATCAGCTTAAAATATATTAAAATAAACCGTACCAAAGATACTCCCTGTTCACTGTGTCGGGTGTCAGAACAACAGCGGAAGACAGGGCACACACAGTGGCGGCCACGACACTCACCGCTCAGCGTGCTCGGAACAGCCTGCCCCGGCTCCGTGGACCCGTTGGCGTGGATGGGTACATCCGGGATGGGCCCGAGGATCGACTGCAGGCAAGGAGATGAGCACACAGCAGCTTACCAAATGCAGCCTGCCCTCACGACAGTCTGACTTCTACTGCACTATGCAGGAGCTCTGCTCACGAGGAGACCCATTCGGTAATTTCATAGGTGGCCTCCACTGATTTCCTTTGTTTCTGCATTCAGTTTAGACAGGGAGAGCTCCCAGGGTTCTCAAAAGGGAACCACATCTGGGTCAGTGTAGCTGAGCCTTTATAGTGCTTAAATATTCCCTGGCCTACATTTGCTAAGCTGTACAAATGACAATGCTTGATGTCATATAATTTGATAATGATGTTATTTGTCAAACTCGATGCATATTGTCTCAGCTATATTAATATTACCACAGTCCCTCGGTGCACACTGCAGAGCGATAAGAACTAACACAAATGATGCTTCCTAATTTAGCTCCCTCTCAATTATCTTTCACGTCTCTTCTGCAGAATCCTGCCCAAGCATGGCACACTCTGCCCTCACATCAGAAGCTGAGTGTCTCTCTGCAAAGTCCTGCATGGCCACTCTGGATGGGCACTGGTAAAGAAAATCACACAGAAATCCTACCCAGGTTGTATAGGTGAGTCCTATAAATGTTACGGTGGAAGTTATCCGTGAATGGTGTGACAATGAAATCCGCTATCCCATCAAGAATCTTTTACCTGCTGTTCACACATAAAATGTGCTCATTTCCCCCTCCCAGTGCCTGATGTGGTTTCTTTCATTCTCATATTTATTTAGCAAGAACTGAACACCTGCTTCATGACAGATCTTTTATCCTGTGCTACAAATTGCACGAGGAACTCTCAAATTTGGAGCCTTGTGTTCTCTTTTTATTCCTATTTTATTTCAAAGGAGATGATACACTTTTGACTGTGTGAACAGCATGCAAATAGATGGCCGCTTATGAAAACATGGATACCCAAATAGTATAATGAGTGAAAGAAGAAAGAAGAACGTGGGGCCATTCTGCTCTTGGTCAGTGGGACTTTTCATAGCGCCACAAACCTCCACAGGAGGATGAAGGTGAGCCACAGCTGTGGCCCGCATCTGGAGCGTCTCCTGGGAGCACATGGGCAGGTGAGGCCCTTGGCTTGGAGGAACCCTAAGCACTGGGGCTTGGGGAAGGTGGCGCTCACTGGGCTGTGAGCTTGGAGGGAAGGCACACGGGGACCCCAACCTCTCTTATTCCTATTTTCTTTGCTTCTGGCTGCCCCGAGGGGAGCAGCCACCCCATCTTGCATTCCACCACGATGCCCTGCCCACCATGGCCCCAGAACAACATGGCCAGCCCACAGAGCCTGAAACCCCCTAAGCCCTGAGCCAAGATAAACCTCTCCTCCTTATACACTGCCTCCCTCAAGAGTTTGCTATAGTAACAGAAAGCTGTCTAACACACCCATGCATTAAAATCCTTCAAAGGAGTGGACAACTTTTCAGTGGCTCCTTTAAGTTTTCCCACAAAGGAATACTTTGTCAGACGGCCAAGGCACTCGCTGTGGGAGAGAAGGCTCTTCTGAGAATCCAGAAGCTGTGAATTGACTAGCCCATAATGCTGAAGGTCTGGAATTTGAGAACCTACTGAATGTCAATTTCTTAATCTGAAGTGGAGCTGTATCTTGCGTTGCTGGCCTGCAGCAGCCGACTGTGCCGATGAGAAGCATCATGTCGCAGACATTACCAAAGGACAGAAATCAGAGGATAATCCCTGCTCTTGAGCTACTTCCAACGGGGAGAACAGAAGAGCATTTGTGGCACATTGTTAAAAGACACGAAATCCAGTTGAGGGCTAATTTCATAACACAATCTGCACCACGGGCAAAGGCTGAGGAGGGGGAGGGCTGCCTGGAAGGCTGCTCCAGATGAAGCGGCTGAACTGGATCTCGACCTCAGGGGACAACAGAAAGGATGTACAAAAGCACAGGATGCAGGTGAAAGCACTGGACTAGAGTTGGAGACACTGCAGGAATTTCAGGTGCAGGTGTATCTGAAGCATTCCAGCACGAAAAATCACGGGGACACTGGAGTGCTAGGAGTTCAGTTGTGGGATTAGAAAAATATGAGAATTAAGTTAATCAAGAGGTCCATTCACATTATGGGAGGGGTTGAGAGCCAGGCAAGGCACTGAGGCCTAGAGTCATAAGGGGCAGAAGCAAAACTGGATAAGGCAAAGGAGCACTCTCCTGTCAACACAGGGGAATCGTGTGGTGAGGACGGAGAGAGGGGAACAGGCTGCCTGCCAATGGTCCTCGAGCTTTGAGGCAAGAAGGCCAGAAGCCTAGGTTTACGCAGTTGCTCCCGGGATCCATGAGGAGGGGTTCTAGGAACCAAGTGGACCACAAGTCTGCACACTCAGGTCCCTTCCAGAAAATGGTGCTGTATTTGTGTATAGCCTACATGCATCCTCAAAATACTTCAAATCATCCCTAGAGGACTTACAATAATATCTAACACAGTCTAAGCAGCTGTTATACTACAGCATTTAGGGAATAATGACAAAGAAAAAAGTCTGTACGTATTCAGCAGAGGTACAAGTTAAAAATATTTTTGATCTGCAGGGGGTTAAATCCACGGTTGAATCCACTCACTTCAATAGATGCTGGGTGATCATTGATATAATATAACCTCCATTCCAGATTACAGCAATTACAAGGTGCAGAAACCTGTAACAATTATTCTACTTCATGGTGAAACATTGGAAGAAAAGTCCTACTGAGATGGTTAAAGGGGTAGCTGTAACCTTTTCCTAAGTTCATGTGGGAGAAACAATTTTTTAGAAGAGAAAAAGGAAACTGATGCTGGTTTTGGTGAGAGTGAGCTGATCCTGACAGATTTCAAAAACCAGCCCCAGAGACCGGCCCTACACCTGTGGGGATTCTACCTATCACAAAGAGGGCATTCGAACAGGTAAAACAGGTAAAAGGTGGAAAAATGCTACTGGTCACGTCAAGGCTACTCCTTTGGGAAAGCTCAAGTTGGGTTATCTCCTTCCCAGCATCCCACAGCCCCAGGTCCAATAGGGCAAGGCGTTGAGGCTGGGGAAGTCCTGGCCATGACGCTCAGGTGTCCCTGGGACTCACCCTGGTCGGAGAGATCTACCTGTATCGCTGTCCAAGCCAATAGCCCCACAGCCCTGGACACTGAGTCTCTGGAAACCCCACCCCTTGAAAGGACCTCGGTGCCTGAGGTTCCTGTAACCAGGAGCCCTGGGCCTCAGGCGTGGCCCCCTGCCCAGAAGCCTGCAGTACTCTCAGAACAAGTGCAGGGGGTCCAGCTGGCATCTGCGGGCTGCTGTGGCAACGAAGCAGAATGTTCAAGGTCTCTAAAGAAAGATGTTCTGAGAACCAAGGAATCCAAGGCAAGTCAAGTTGGAGACTGGTGCCGGTCAGGTGAGCCCTCTGGAGCCCTCTGTTGCTTTCCTGCCTCGGTCCCAGCAAAGGAACAGTGGACTCTGGGTAATTAGCACACCCAGGACAACTCTCCCTGCATGTGCCACCACAGCCACCTGCTTGGTTTCATACCCGCAAACCTCCAAGAATCTTATTTGCAGACAGTCTGTTCTCAATAAGGATTTGTTGAATGAACGACAAAACGAGCCAAAGATGTGGCAAAACTAGCAGCCAAGAGTGAATAAATGGAAAAACAAAACCAGCAGCAGTCTTATTAGAAGTAAAATTGAGATCACGGGGCTGCCATGGAAAAACCCACAGAACAAGGCAAGCCTGTCCCCTGGTCTTTGCAACACCATCACAAGACAGTCCTACAGCCCCTACTCAGGGGCACATGAGCCCCAGCCCCCGTCCTGTGCTGCTGCTTCTGCGGGAGAGCCAGAGATGCCGTGGAGAGGAGAGGATGCCGGAGCTCTCATGTGCACTGAACTGCAGGGAGCTGAAACACTGCAGCCCGCAGCTCTGGTGAGGATGGGCAGAGGGCGCGGCTGACACTGCTTCAGCAGCACAGACGAGGACGGTGAGTCCCTGCTCTGGAAACACGGCTGGAAGAAAGGAGTAGAAATATTCTACAGCCGTTTGCAGGCCAAAACCCACAAGTGCCAGACAGGCATGAAGAGGTGGAAGGGCAGGCAGAGCTCAGGCTGAGGCGAGCGGATGAGTCTTAGGCTTACAGCTGCCACCAGCTGTGCTGGAAAATAAAGGCTCCTAGCCAAGGGCTCAGAGCTGGAGCCCTTTGTCATGGGGACACGTCACTGCTGCGTGAGATGGGATGCAGGGAGCTCCTTTGGGGGTGGAGTCAGGTCTCAATGTGTTGTTTTGGCTGGTCCTGAACTCACGATTAGCCCGGACTGGCCTCACACTGACGGTGATCCTCCTGCATCAGCCTCCCTAGTGCTGGGATTACAAGTGTATGCCACCACTCCCGGCCAATGAAGGGAACTGTTGCATTTAATAATTACGGGAGAGTTTGTGAATGACTTGTTTTCATTAATAAAGATGGTGGGTTTGAGACGAGCTCTAAACAGAGATGCTCGCACTCATTTTCCACTCAATGCGCGGCCTTATGGAGGGGAATAAAAGCTTGACTTGAAGCCGGGGGGCAGCACAGTGGGTTCCCTCAGAGCATCTATGCCATAACCTGTAGCTATTAAGAAGCTACTCATTGGTGAGCCCCCCGCATTATTCTATTCTTCTCACATACTAACTACACAGCAATGCAACCCATAACCCCAAAGCCAGAAACACCACGAGAAAGCTGATCTACAGGGGCTTGCAGTGCTGTTCCCCAGGAAAATGCGGTGTCCTGGGAGTGGGCCAGGCACGGGAGGGCTGGGTAACCTGCGTCACAGGAGGAAGAGGGAGAGGCCACTGCCCCGGCACCACCTGAAGTGTCACCTCCACCCGGCCGTCTGCCGCCTCCCTGCTCTCAGGGCTGCCGCCTGTCTGCTGGGCTGAGGTCACCGTGTCCCCCGCCAGAGCCCGGCCCGGAGACACTGGGCAGCGGGGATTCTCGGGGCCACTGGAGGCGAGGGACGGGAGGTTTAGACTCAGAGAACCAAGGTTTCTGAGCCCAGAGGCCCCGCCGTCCAGGTTGTACGGAGGCCGGGGTCTGGCAGCCTGTTTCTGCGTCACCCTCGTGGATTTCTGCGCCCCATTTCTCTCTGAGAAGTCACGGCCTCCATCCTCCCACACCGGGGGCCACACCCTTGGTCCTCGACGTTGTCCCTGACTCGCGACTGTGCCCACACGGGGACTTACCGTGGAGCTGCTCCCAGGGTCCGAAAGGCTCCCCTCCTCCTCCCGCGGCCCGTTGCACAGGGCAGGGCTGTCCAGAGGCGCATCCTGCGGCTACACGGGGAGACCAGAGCACGCTCTTACCGGGGGTCTTCCCGGGGTGTTCCCGCACTGCCTCCGGACACCGCCGCTGCTCCCCACAAACCTCACCTCCTCAGCACCACCTTGGGCTCCTTCCGGAGAGTAGGCGTTAAGTTGAAACCCCTGTTTCTAGGCCTGTCTGCAGCCAAGAGGGGGAAGGGACAAGGGGGTGCCTGGGTTGAAATGCCGCCTTAGCTGGGGGGCTCTCCTGGCTTAGCAGAGGTGGGCCACGCTGTGCACAGGACAGGGCCTTGGCTCGCAGCCTGCAGCCAGGTGTCGCCTGCGCACAGGGCTCGCAGGCACCGCGGGGAGAGCCGAGACCGCAGACCAGCCCTGGTCATGTCTGTGCTAGGAGGGTGTCCTGCGGCTGCCGGTCAGACCCAGGCCACCTGCCTTTGGATGACACGCAGCCAGAACCGGGTTTATCTCACTGCCTTTTATTCATTTTCTGGAAAGATCCGTGAGGATTTTTTGGCGGGGTGGGGTGGAACTCAGTAGCATGGTACCCAGTTATTTTTGTCTTCCACTCATAAAACAGATTTGAGAAAGACTTTCAAAGAGAATTTTTTTTTTGGCTGTAGTGTACAATGACCCTACTGAAATGAAGGCATGAATACTCTTTCCATTCCTAAAGGAAATTTATTGCAAAATTGAATATATAATATTTATGAAAACATTGAATAATTTGTCTTTTAAAACTTGTCATCCTTCACTTCGGTTGACCATATTTTCTCAATTTTGTACAGATGGTATGAATTCCTTTATGAGACGAACAAAAATCTTTTCTTTCAAGAAACAAATATAACCAAAGAACTAGCACAAGAAATTTAAATCAAGATAGCAAGTAATCATCTGCTTCCCTTCCTACCCCAAATCACTGCAAATGGCAGGAAAACACAGATTTTATTTCAAGGAACAGATTTTTAAAAACATTGGAAACCAGAAAGGAATTCCATAGCTGACAATTGACAGCAATTTCTAGATGTAAAGCAAATGGGATTGGTTTGGTAAGATAAAAACCTTTACCTAAAAGATGACTTACAGGAGAAGAAGAGAAAAATATGAAGAATGAAGAATGAACAAAGGTAAGAAAGGGACCCAGGAGAACATTTAAGAAATATCTGCAATACTAGAAACCACGAAAACTTCCCCTTCCTTAAGTAGGCAGACTGTCTTGAAATACAGTCCAAGGAACACTTCAGTCCAAATAAAACTGAAAACTTCCCCGGGGTGGAGGATTGGGTCCCAGCATGAGCGCAGGGTCTGGGGCCAGGAGGCCCAGAGGCCTCGGGGAAGACAGAGGAAAAGAAAATGGAGTCAGCTTTGCCCACAAGCAAGACAGGAGCATCCTCTCCCTGCCCGGTTGATTTCTCAGCCAGGTGTGTCCCACCCATAACCCTCACACTCCATGAAGTGCAGGCTGCATACTTGCAGGACACAAAACCAACAATGCTGGCTTTTTGAAAAAATACATCTACTGAATTGCAGAGAAAACATCATAATTTCCTTTGTGAATCAATAAAAACATTCACACAGTCCAGGTGTGCAGAGCACTGGTCCCAGGGAGCTGCAGAGCAGACTCCTCCTGCCTGAGGACCCTCTGCCCTCTCCCAGGGTGGTCTTGGGCAGAACTGTCACCCTCCTCTGTGGCTGAGTGGGGATGGAGGATGGGGTCGCAGAGCCTCGGAGCTGGACAGGCAGACACTCCTAGGGCCCTGTCTTCCTCAGAGTGCTTCCTCCCCTAAAGCCTGGCATCCGTGTGGTTTCCTGACCAGGTGGACTCACGATAGGGTGGATGCGTCACCATGTGGGCCGTTACCGCCACACATGCAAAAGCTAACGTGCTCTCCACACAAAACCTTTACGTGTAGAAAATTACTGGAAAACACTAAGTATGTATATCCACTTCATACTAGAAACACCAAAAAATATTTACATGGTGTTTGTTATTTTTCGCTGTGAGCTTACCCCGGAAGACTGAGGCTTTGTTGACAACACCCTCAGAGGTACAGGATGTACATAAAAATCTATTTTTGTTGCTGTCTTTATGCCTCAGTTTTTTAAAACACAGAATTCAGTTACTTTGGATTTACCTGTGAAATTATCCTTCACTGAGTGGAAGAGGGATGGAGGATAGGCTGCCTGTGGCTATGTTTGCTAATAATCGGAATCATGTGGGATGTTTATAGCAGCACAATTCATGATGGCTAAATCTCAGAAACCGTGTGTATTTCCATCAACAGATGAATGAATGTGTATTTATACACAGTGGAGTACTACACTGCCATAAGGAAAGAAAAACTTGAGGCATTTGTAGGTAAATGGAGACAACGTGAGAACATGATGTTAAGTGAAATAAGTTAGACACATACTCAAATATCACGTTGTTTCTCTTATGAGAAACACAAATAAAGAACAAAATAGAAGAGAGATAAATAGGAAATAGGGAGAAATTCAAATACTTTCCCAAATTACAAATTCCACTGTTTTAAAAATATTTCAATGTATATGCTAATTGGTTCATTTATACTACTAGTGTATTTTAGTTCATTGCAAAGAAAGATTAGTGTAATTATCTGTGTGCTTCTTCTTTGCAAGAATCTTTTTGGTTGATGTCCTGTAGAGTGAGTAACTGGTTTGAAGATGATGAGACACAGTCTAATAACTATTATTACTCCTTTGTTATTTGATTATGAAATTTTTATTTTTTCATAAACTAAAAAGAATTTAAAAAGAGAAATGAGGATGCACATCGCTTATGCTGCATGAACGTTCGTGGCCCCAACCTGGAAAGACTCCAAATGCCCGCCCTCTGGTGAACAGATGCACCAACACTGGCGTATTTACATGGTGGGATATTATTGGTTGCAAAAGGATGACATGCGACAGGTAGGTGAATCTTGAAATCATGATTATGATTGAAAGAAACTGACACAAAAGAGCATCTTATATTTACAGTTCCACCTGTATGGAAGATGACAGCAACCTCGGGTGTCGGAAATCGTGGCAGGGCTGTGGACTCTAAGAGGGAGGCGTGGATGCAGGAGGGCCTGAGGGAGGCTTCAGAGGCAGTGGACCTACTCTGTGTCTTGGTTGACTCTCGTTACCTGGGTGAACACTTTTGTTAAAACAAATGGAATCGCACACCTAAAGTACATGTGTTTATTACTTTTAAAAATTTGCCTCAATTTAAAAATAATTTGATTTCTGAAAAACGATTTCATTCTTACCTTCAGAAAGATTGAAAGACCTATTTCTGCTTTGTATCAGAATACAGTATTGTAACAATGAGTAACTCAGAAATGAGACTACGTTTGCTGAATTTGACAAAAAGAGATAATACAATCATGGCTGAGATAAAAATCACTGATCTGGAACATAAAGTTGAAAAAAGCTAGGACACAGGCCAAGCAGACCACAGGAGAGAAAAGTTAGGAAATACCAGAAGCCAATTAAAGCAAACCAGTGAGTGTTTCATATGTGTTGTTGAAGTATGGGGCATAGGAAATGGGAAGAAAAAATAATTCAAGACCTAATGGAAGAAAATGTGTAGAAATCGAAGGACAGTTCTTACAGAAAGAACCCACTGCACACTGGTAAGTATGAAGGAAATGTGGACAGATCCATGGGCAAGTTCAGAATTCCACGCTCAAAATTCATAAAATTCAAAAAGTTGTGCAGAGGGCAAACAAAAAAACCCAGGAGAAGATTCTTTGTAAAGGAATGAGGCTCTAGGGCTAGGGATTTAGCTCAGTGGTTTCGCTGCCTGCTGCGCAAGCTCAAGGACCCAAGTTCGATCCCCGGTACCAAAAAAAAAACCCCACAAGGAATGAGATTCTGACAACTAAAAGAGGAAAGGGAAAAAAGGACACAATGTCCTACACCAAGGGTGTCATAGTCTGTCAATGAAAAATATGAGAAATTGCACTGTGTAGGTTTTGCGGGAAAGGTGAGGTTCTGTGTTAAAAACAGCCCATCGGCACAGGCTCCTGAAAGAACCAGCAGCAGGGATGGTGCTGCCAGCAGGTGCACGTCAGAAGTGGCACCGTGGACAGGAAGAGGTCACAAGGCTGCCGGAGAAGCTGCTGCTGTGTCTGTCTGCGGTTGTGCCAGGCTTGGTTTGCCCATCATCAGTTTCTTATTTTGCGATTAACACAAACTCCTACTTGTTTAACTCAAGGTTCCCTAGATTTTCTTTGGTAAGAAGCAAGCACAGATGTAAGTGAGGATTTCTAGCAGATGGTGTGATTGTATTGTGCAGTGAGTTATGAATCAATAGCAAGCGCAGCTATTTGATTTTCACTGAAGCCATTGGAAATAAACTAGATTGATCACTTTGCCTTTTGAATAAGCTAACATTGCCATTGAATGTTGCATTTATACCGACTGAACATAAGGACAATGTCTTCTTTTATCTAAATAAAAAGTGATGGGCAGGCCAGGCCCCTGGTGAGTGCAGATGGGGTGTAGGTGCCCCGACCCAGCAGCAATTGTGTCTTGGGGTCCAAGACCCACCTCATGAGGTAAATGAGCAGCTATTCTTTTATTGCAAGGAGTTTACTGCCAAATAAATATGTTGGCTATTAGTGAAATCACAAAACTTTATATGGCCTTCTTTTTAACCTGTTTATTGAGATATAGCCAACATACATTAACTGCATGTGAAGCTATGATATTTAATGGGCACAAAGCATACAATGTCTATGGAACATTGACTGTAGTCAAGATAATGAAAAAAGGCAGCAATCCCCTAAAATGTCCTCATGTCCCTTCAGGGTCTGTCCTTCCCTCCTTCCTCAGCCGTCCTAGAGCCCCAGAAAATCACTGGTCTTTCCCTCACTCTGGATTTGTCCACTTCTTCCATCATTTTGTATAAATTGGAATTTTTGGTCTGGCTTCTTTCACACGGCATGATTATTCCGAGGCCCGTACGTGGGCTCAGCACTGCTCCACGGTGCGGAGCCCCAGCCCTTGTTCATTTACCTGCACACAGACATCTGGGTTGTTCCCAGTTTGGTGCTGCTACAAACGACGCTGCTATAGACAGCTGCAGACGGTCTCCATGGGGCTGTGCACTTCCTGCCAGTGGGATGCCGGCTTTCACGGTGAGTGCACACCCTTAGCATTTTCAGAAACTGTCCAGTGTCTTTCAAAGTGGACCAACCAAGGTGCATTCCCAGTGTGTAATGGTGCCAGCTGCTCTGGTCCCTGGCTCTGCTAGGCAGGTTAGCCTGTCCTGTTAGCCACTCCGAGGGGCTGAGGGCTCCCATGGTGACTTCTTTGCTTTATTTCTGGGATCATTCATGCTACTGAGCATATTTCCTTGAGCTGATTTGCCACCCACGTGTCTTCTTTGGAGAAGTGTTTGGTCAAATCTTTTGCCCATTGTAAAAGGCAAGGAAAGACCTAACATGATTTTGACAGAGGAAAACTCACAGCATATTCCTGAGAGAGGGAGGTGATTTGTTTTTATAAGTAGCTGTGGAAGGTTTAGGATCCAAAGAAGGAGCTTTGATATTATTGCTGTCAACAAGAGGGATAAAAACTGAGAAAAGGGGGAGTTAAACCAGTTGAGCAAGGCTCTTTGTCCTAAAGCCTAGCAGGATCACCAAGATGGAGGAAAATGTGGAAAAAATCAGAAGCAGCCTTCACGCAAGTGCCGGTCAGAGAGAGGCTCTGGGAATAATGTGGATTCTTCTCCCAAAGCCACCTAATGCTGAAAGCAAGTGCAGAGGATTCTGGAAGTAACTCCCATGGCCTCCTGGATGCTGAAGGAAGACGACTGGGGGGTGGGTGGCCACCCTGTGTTCCACCCACCACTTCAGAGTCAGTTTCTCCCCAGTGACCACAGCAGGGAGGAGAGAGCCTGCTGGAATTTGCGTTACCTTTTTTCTATCTGGGAGGAAGTTAGGAAAGGAGACATGAAGATGGAAAAATATGCGACATAACTCTACCTAAGGAGAGAAAAGACAGCTAAGAACAAGGCTGCAAGTAGAAACAGATGTGGCACAAGGTGCTGTCCTGCCCTGCTGAGCCTCGGTTGATGCCAGATGCTGTCCTTGGCCTGTTTGGCCCAGGGTTCCGGGTAAGTGGGACTGTGGGGAGGTGAGGGACTGGACACCAGGGTGACTGACTGGTGTCCCCCCGCACCGACGAGCAGAACATTTGGGACGCCCGCCACAGCAGGCACACTTGCTACTCGGTGGAACTAACACTTCCAAGAGAATTTTGTAAACAAAACAAAAGTAAAGACACTAAATATGCCAAAAGGGTAACGCAATCATCCCGTTCCTAATGTATTATTTTTATAGCCTAGGATATGCAGTTATTTGTGGATCAACCCATTAGGCCATTCACAGCTGTGTATTTTTCTTACAAATTGAATAAAGGTAGCCAGGTACCTTGACAGCCGTGCTGCTCAACCATCCTAATCACACTGTTCTCTTTTCCAGCTATGCATACTGTCTTTGGAGAAATGGCTTCTTCCACCCCTACCCTCAGGTTCTCTTCCATCACTTACCATTGGATCACTTGTGTTGATGACTTCTGGTAGCTGCTTTTCTTCCGGGGTGCCATCCAGCTGCGTGGTATGCTCGTCACAAGAAGCATCCGGCTAATGAAAGAAATAGAAGCCATTGTCATGCAAGCTTATCTTTGTGCATGTGACCTTGTGCTCCACAGTGCATGATTCTGGGATTTGGAGCCGACTGTGGCCAGCTGTGCAGAGATACACAGGGCCAACAGCTGGCACCGGTGACCTAGCTTTCGGACTCACCCAGAACCATGCTGATCCGCATAGTGTCACGCACTGCCACAGACTTGGCCTCAGAGGCAGACACTGCTAGCTGCCTGCTGAAATTTCCTTTCCTTTTCCTTTCTCTTGACTTATGAATATCATGGCTTTTCTCCAAGGTCCCGTGTGCAGCTGAAAAGACTGTGTGGCCCTGCGATGGTGACATCTGATACGGGGAAAATGCGTTCTGCTTGGTGGGGTGTTTTCTGGTGGAAGTGGACAGAGTGAGCTTGTCAGTGCGTGTTCAGGGAACATGGCTCTGTGCCTGAGATGCCTGGACACTCTGTAACCATTAAGAATTAGCCCGTGTGCCACAGGGAGCAGAATGGGAAGTTGGACGGGTTGGTAGAGCCATGCTACAGCAGCCATGCAGCCTCTGCCTTCCTACCTTGGGCTATTTTTTATAAGAAACATAAACCTGTAACTGCCTAATGATGTGACTTCCTGATAAAACCATGCCTTTTAAAACCAGACCTTACTTACAAAACTATTTTGGAATAGTTTATTATATGTTCACAGCAAGAACGGTTATTCTTTAGTTAGGAAGCTGGAAATACATTAGCTTAATTACCTCATGAATAACTAGGACTGAACCAAATATTTCTTTCCCATTCAGTGAATACTGAGAAAGCTCTGACTTTCATTATGCAGAAGTGTGTTTGGAGACTAGACACAAAGCCTGGTGCATAAACTCTAAGATTTAGTAGCACTTTTAATAAACACATTTCCCCAAATGAGAAGCAAATAGTACATCCCATGGTTGAAGCAATTCTTTGAACAATTAAACATACTGGATATTACTGAAATTAAAAACTGTTTCATGAGACCTTAGGAAACACTATTTTTAAAATTTTATTTCTCTGTGTTTTCAACCCCTCCCCCAAATTCTATACTATATTAATAAGGACGATGCACATCTATTTCTAAATGGAAATAATGCTCAAGAGGAAGCAGAAGAAGCTTGGATTGGGCTGGAGACTAAGCCTGCCCTGTCACTCAGTATGGAGCGCATTTTACTAAGAACCGGCCCCATGGCAGTGCTAGAACGAACACTGTATCCTGCAACAGATCAGAAATGGATAGGAGACCCTGGAAAGTGTTTGTCTGATAACGGTGGAGGCATCCTCAGCCTAAGGATGGCCCAGGATGACACTGCTGTTCAGGAAAGAAGAGACCTGCGGACCATACAGTCACCAAACATCTCCGAATCCATGGGCCCTGCCAGTGTAACTCATGGGTCACACAATGTCGTCTCTATGAGGGGGCGGACAGGCCTGCCACTGGCCCTGTGTCAAGAGCAGCAGGCAGGAGCTGTGCTTAAACCAGAAAATGCTCACTGCCTTCTTGGGCAAGATTCCAGGCAGCTGTCCAGGCTGGGGACCAAAAAGACCTTGCTGCCAGATTGTGCCTGGGCTCTGGGAAAGGCACGGATGGAGAATGCAAGGAAAACATCGGCTCTGTGTGAGATGGGCAGAAGTGAAGACACTGGCTCTGCCCTCTTTGGTGTGAAAGGTGTGTGTGTGGGGGGCTGTGGTTTGAGTGGGTCCCCCCAAAGCATGTGTTGGACCATCTTCCACCATGGGGTTCGCCCAAATCCCAAATATGATGGGGTGAAGCAGCTCAAGAGCTCCTGCCAGATGCCAGCCCAGCCCTCAATACTGGACATTCCAGACTCCCGAGCTGTAAGACATAAGCCTCTGTTCTTCATACATTGCCCACCAATGTATGGGTGTGCCAAGCTGTGGCACTGCTACAGCAACACAAATGGACCAAGACTGCATGTGTGTGCCCATGCATGTGCTATTAACTAACCTGCATTCACACACTGTGCACACAACACTGCATCCGAAGTCAGCCCAGCCCTCTTATTCAAGAGCTCGGCCTTTGGGAAAACGTCTACATAATGGCAGAGAGGGGGCAATACGAGGTCTTACATCATCAATTAGCCCATTCAATCCATGCGTGGATGCCAATCAGTCATCAAGGGTCAGCAACCACTGGAGAAAATCGACCTCTGTACAAAAGAAATGTATTGATATATCTTCTGGTAGAAACATAACTGAGAGAAGAAAGCTTATAATGATTTTGTGATTTCAGAGAGATTAGAGTGGCTATTGTGGCCATAAATCAAAAACTGTAAGAAGAAAGGAAAATCAAAGAAAATAGAAGAGTTCTTGTGAAGGAACAGTATGATTAAAAAATCCAAATTAAAATTTAAAAACTGAATCAAAACCTAATAGTGGCTAAATTGTAATCCTTCATGGCAAAAATCAGAATTAAGGATCTACAAAGTGATGTAGACAAAATCTCCTAGGATACAGAACAAAGAAACAAAGAAAACCATGGAAAATATAACAAACAACTCAAGAAATAGGTAAATTTAACCCAAGCAATGAAAGGAAAAGCACAGAAAATATAGAGAAATCACAGGAAGAACACCTTTAGAATTAAGGAATCATTTTCAGTAAGAAAAGGCCGAGTGCTGAGCACAGTGGGGGAAAAAAGATAATTTCATGTCCTGATGACATTTCAGGTCTCAGCAATAAAGAAAAAGCTTCCAGAAACATAAAAGTGAAAGTGGGGTATAAATGAAGAAGTAGGATTTAGAGACCATTAGACTTCTCAGTAAAAAGCAAATGGCCCCATGTCCACAGATTGCAGAAGGAAGCAGATTTAGGGCCCTGTACTTTCATACTGGTCAACATAAGCTTTATATGTGTTTTGAATACGAGCATTTAGTGTTCAGAGATGTTTTTTCCAAGATATGCTCTGAGGGCTAGAGGCTGCGAGAAGGCAGGATTCAGTGGCACGTGTGACCCTGGAGGCAGAGACTTTGACTATTCTCTGTGGTCTTCTCATTTTCCTGGCCTTCCCTTGTCTTTCTCCTAAAATGCTTCCACTCAGTTTTCAACCTCAGGATGGCATGAGAGTGATGGGCCTTCAGTAGAAACGGTCTGGCGAGTTTGCACTTAGGTCTTTTCCGGAGCTGGCGCGGTGGGGTCTGATTAGCTCCCAGTCCCCTGGGACCCTGGACAATGAGCAGAGGTGACCCACACTCTGGGTGCTTGGGCTGCATGAGCTGCTCAGCCAGGGTGTGCACCAGGCGTGCTGAGCGTGGTGCATTTTGGGTGACATTTCCCACTCAGGGTGGGTTTAGCAGAAGGGACCCACTGAGTGAGGAGCGTCTGTCCTTGGGTTTGAATCCTAGAAACTGGAGAGCAGCCCGGGGTGTGGTTGGAGAGTCGCAGGAGGGTCTGCACCAGCTGGCCTCGGGATGGACCATCAGAGGCGCCATGAAGGGGGCTTATGCAGAAGCAGAGGGAAAGCCAGGTGGCCAAGGGGTGTGGGGCAGGGAGGTATGGGGTGGGGGTGTGGGAGAAACCCCCAGTCCCACTTGGCGGGGTCCAGGCGATGCAGGGTTCCCTGACACCCAAAGGGTTCACCGTGAGGAGGGGCTGCAGACAGGACACATCTGGGACACATCGGCCACAGCCAAAGGCAGGGTGGGGAGCACATGAAGGACGGCACTGGGTGCATTCATATTCTCCGGGCAGGTGCAAATCATCTCCCAGACACTCACTCAAAGGCTATTATGCTGGTGCGCACCTGTAATCCCAGCACTCTGGGAGGCTGAGGCGGGGCGCTGCCAGTTTGAGCCGAGCCAGGGCAACTTAGCAAGCCCTCATCTCAAAATAAAAAGTGAAAAAAAGAAGTGGGGACGTAGCTCAGTGTGGAGATCCTGGGATCGATGCCCAAGAGTGGAGAGGAAAACAAACACCCCCTAGCCAACGGCCAGCTGTCATCCTACCCAGGACTGTGAGCAACCGTGTCTCTCCTTCTGTCCATCGTCACTGCTTCCGACTGTGCACTGAGCTTGTTTCTAGGCTCAACTGTTGAGATCTGGTGTGCAGGGACTGTGTGTGCTCACTCTGCTGCTGGTGCTGCAGTGCCAGGCACTTGGGCTGGTGATGCTGCCGTGGCCCCCTCCTGACGCCCCACGAAGTCTGCTCTGACCATTGCTTCTTGAGGGGCAGAACAGATAAAAGGGCAGCTGGATGGGGCTGACTCCCCACACCTAGAAGTGTGGTCCTTCCTGTGGGAGGCTGTGGGGGCCAGGTGCATGGGTGGCTCCCGAGGGCAGCTGGTAACTGTCAGGTCCCCGACTGCCCGGGCTGCATCACTGCTCCCATCCCTGAGAACATCGCGGCAGAAGCTGAGCACCTCCTGCCCTTTGGGGCCCATCTCTGCTGTAGAACGAGCCCGGGTGGCGTGAGCTTCCGGGCCCTGGGAGTCTCAGAGGAGCAGCCCTGCTGGCGTGGCTGCCTCGGGAGAGGACTCTGCCGGCGCCTGTCCTGGGCGTCCTCCCTGGCGCTGGATCACAGGCGTGGGCGTGGCTGCTCCTGGGTCACAGTCCCAAGAAACCTGTGACCCCATGTGGGGAACCCAACACTGGAGCAAACCAGGAAGTACAGATTTGATGTTTAAATCGACATCCACTAAAACCCAGTTTACAAGTGTTTGCTGAGAAGCACGCATCTAACCAGCACATATACGGGATGCCCTTTTATAACGGTCTACACTTGCATGTCCCTTCTGATGCTCGGACCTGAAAATGGGGACAGATCTATTTTCCAGCCCTTACAGCTCTCTGCTGGCCAGATGTGAAGTCAGCTGTCCAACGAAAAAACCCAGTCCGGGAGGAAAGGTACCTGCACGCCCTTGGGGCACCAAATCCCACCCCCAATATCACAGACAGGGGACATCTACGAATTGTCACTACTGTGTTTTCTCTGGTCTGGAAGAAGGTAAAAGCTGAGCAT